GTTTATTTAGGGTTGGTTTAGGGTTTATGTAGGGTTGGTTTAGGGTTTATTTAGGGTTGGTTTAGGGTTTATTTAGGATTGGTTTAGGGTTGGTTTAATGTTTATTTCGGGTTGGCTTAAGGTTTATTCACGGTTGGCTTAGGGTTGGTTTAGAATTTATTTAGGGTTGGTTTAGGGTTTATCTATGGTTGGTTTAGGGTTCATTTCAGGTTATCTAGGATTGGTTTAATGTTTATTTAGGGTTGGTTTAGGGTTGGTTTGGGGTCGTTTAGGTTTTGTTTAAGGTTGGCTTATGGTTTATTTAAAGTTGGTTTAGGTTTTATTTAGGGTTGGTTTAAAATTTATTTAGGGTTGGTTTAAGGTTGGTTTAATGTTTATTGAGGGTTTGCTTAAGGTTTTTTCAGGGTTGGTTTAGGGTTTATTTAGGGTTGGTTTAGGGTTGGTTTAGGGTTTGTTTGAGTTGGTTTAAGGTTTATTCAGGGTTGGTTTAGAATTGGTTTAGTGTTTATTTAGGGTTGGTTTAAAATTTATTCAGTGCTAGTCTAAAGTTTATTGAGAGTTGGTTTTGAATTGGCTTAGGGTTTATTTAGGGTTGGTTTAGGGTTTATTTATGGTTGGTTTAGAATTATTTAGGGTTGGCTTAGGGTTTATTTAGGATTGGTTTAGGGTTGGTTTAAAGTTGGTTTAGGTTTTATTTAGGGTTGGTTTAGGGTTTATTTAGGGTTTGTTTCACGTTTATTTAAATTGGTTTAGGGTTTCGGGTTTAGGGTTTGTTAGAAGTTTATTCAGTGTTGGTTTAGGGTTTAAGTAAGGTTGGTTTAAGGTTTATTTAGGGTTGTTTAGGGTTGGTGTTATATTTATTTAGGGCTGGTTTAGGGTTCATTTAGTGTTATTTAGGGCTGGCTTAGTGTCATTTAGGGTTGCTTCAGGGTGGGTTTGGGGTTGTTTAGGTTTGTTTTCGGCTTGGTTTATGGTTTAGCAAAAATTTGTTTAAGTTTTATTTAGGGTTGGTTTAACGTATATTTAGAGTTGGTTTAGGGTTTATTTAGTGTTTATTTAGGGTTGTTTTGGAATTTATTTCGGGTTTGTTTAATGTCTATTTAAAGTTTATTCAGCCTTGGCTTGTTGTTTATTTAATGTTCATATAGTGTTGGTTTACGGTTCATTTAATTGTGTTTTTTCAAAGTTAATTTCATGTTCAGTCTAAGGTTTATTCTAAATTTATTTAGTGTTGGTTTAAAGTTTATTCAGGATTATTTAGGGTTGGTTTATGGTTTATTTAAGGTTAGTTTAAGGTTTATTTAAATCTGGTTTAGGTTATTTAGTTTGGTGCTGGTTTAGGGTTTATTAGGGTTGGTTATGCCGGGCTGGTTAAAAGCTTCATTAGGTTTGGTTCAAAGTCTATTTCCATGTTTTTTGAAATTGGCTTAGGTTTTTTTAAAAGTTATGTAGTGCTATTTCGAGTTGGCTTAGGGCCTATTTAAAATCTGTTGAGGGTTTGCTTAAGATACATGTAGGGATACAAGGTGCGCATAAAAAGGTAGATAGATAGATAGATAGATAGGTAGATAGATAGATAGATAGGATAGATAGAATAGATAGGATATATAGGTAGATAAATTAGATAAACTAGATAGGTTAGAAAGGTTAGATAGATAAGATAGATAGGTTAGATAGATTAGATAGATTAGATAGATTAGATAGATTAGATAGACTAGGTAGATTAGGTAGATTAGATAGATTAGGTAGGTTAGATAGATTAGATAGATTAGATAGATTAGATAGATTAGATAAGTTAGATAGATTGGATAGGTTAGATAGATTGGATAGGTTGGATAGGTTGGATACATTAGATAGATTAGATAGGTTAGATAGATTAGATAGGTTAGATGGATGGATAAACTAGATAGGTTAGAAAGGTTAGATAGATTAGAAAGATAGAAAGATAGATAGATAGATAGAAAGATAGATAGATAGACAGAGAGATAGATAGATAGATAGATAGATAGATAGATAGATAGATAGAAAGATAGATAGGTAGGTAGACAGATAGATGAGATAGATTGGATAAATTAGATAGATTGAATAGATAGATGGATAGATGGATGGATACATAGATAGATAGACAGATACATAGATAGATAGATAGGTAGATAGGTAGATAGGTAGATAGGTAGATAGGTAGATAGGTAGATAGGTAGATAGATAGATAGTTAGATAGATAGATAGATAGATTAGATAGATTAGGTAGGTAGGTAGATAGATAGATAGGTAGGTAGATAGATAGACCGATCGATCGACAGATAGATAGATAGATAGATAGACAGATAGATAGATAGATAGATAGATAGACAGATAGATAGATAGATAGGTAGATAGGTAGATAGATAGATCGGTCGATAGATAGATAGATAGATGGATGGATGGATAGATAGATGGATAGATTATATTAGATAGATTGGATAGGTTGGATAGATTAGATAAGTAGATAGGTTAGATAGATGAGATAGATTAGATAAATTAAATAAACTAGATTGGTTAGATAGATTAGGTAGGTTAGATAGATTAGACAAGTTAAATAGCTAGTTTAAATAGATTAGATAGTTTTGATAGATAGATTAGATTAGACTAGATCAGATTAGATTAGGTTAGGTTAGGCTAGGTTGAATAGATAGATAGATAGATAGATAAATAGATAGATAGATAGACAGACAGACAGACAGATAGATAGATAGATAGATGGATACATAGATAGATAGGTAAAGCAGGGTAAAGCAGGGTAAAGCCACAAAAGCCACACACCCACAAAAAACCACAGAAGCCACAAAAGCCACAAAGCCAGCCTGGAAAAAAAAAACAAAACAAAAATAGCCCCTTGTAATAATCATGACGGCCCACAAATAAATACCAACAATACTGTTGGCAAAAACTTGCAAAAGTGAGGATTCTCAAGAATAAACGCTATCAAACACTATCGTTTGCAAAAAGGAACCTACTGTTTCTTACTGTTTGATAAATTTCGTGATTTTTATCGTTCACTAAACAGTGTGTCCACACTGAGGGGTTCTTTACGATAGGTGTTAAGGCCTTGTGTTCAATCGAGCTGGTATCGGAAGCGTCCGGCATTTTCCCCGTACCGCACAACATGCTTGTGACATGTCCATGTGCATTTCGACTGCGCAGGCTCGCACAAATGCTGGCCCCGGGATTAGCGTCCGGCATTTTCCCTGTAAATTTCCGCAGAAGATGCCTGTCGTGACATGTCCATGTGCATTTCGACTGCGCGGGCTCGCACAAAATGCTTGCCCCCAGATTAGCGTCCGGCATTTTCCCTGTAAATTTCCGCACAAAATGCCTGTTGTGACATGTCCAGTGCATTTCGATTGCGCAGGTTCGCTCAAAGTGTGCTTCCCCGGTCTTGGGGCCGGTCTTCCTCCTCAACATCATCTTCCTCGACCTCAACATCCACACCATCATCATCATCATCATCATCATCATCGTCATCATCACCATCACCCTCTCATCATCATCATCATCATCATCATCACCATCACCCTCTCATCATCATCATCATCATCATCATCATCACCATCATCATCGCCATCTTCATCACCATGGTCATTATCATCATCGTCATCATCGTCGTCATCATCATCATCATCATCATCCTGACCAGCATCATCCTCGTCATCATCATCCTCGTCACTATCATCATCATCATCGTCATCATCATCATCATCATCTTCTTCGTCATCGTCATCATCATCACCGTCACCATCATCACCGTCACCATCATCATCATCATCATCACCATCATCATCATCATCACCACCATCGTCCTCCTCATCATACTCCTCACCACTCTCATCATCAACATCATCATCATCACCATCATCATCACCCCCATCATCTTCATCATCAACAACAACATCATCAACAACAACAACATCACCATCATCATCGCCATCATCCTCCTCCTCATCACCCTCCTCATCACTATCATGATCAACATCATCATCGTCATCATCATTAGCATCACCATCATCATCATTTCCTGACCAGCATCATCATCATCATCAACAACATCATAATCATCATCAGCATCACCATCACCATCAACAACATCATCAACACTAACATCATCAATATTATTATACATGATCTTTTTACTCCCCCCGCACTGTTTGGGGCCTCTTGCCGGGATAATGTGTTCTTACTTTCCTTGCGAGAAACCAACCATAAGCCCCCTGGTTTCCACGGTCCGTCGACCCCGTCGACCCAAGGATCGAGGCAAAGAGTGCCAGCACCGAAGCCTCGCCTTCCAGGAGCCGCTGCACCATGCGCTGCATAAAGCCCTCCACACCTCAGAGGTGAATAAAAGATCTACATCTACAGATGTAATGATACATAATGATATATATCATGAGATACAACGATATATAATGATAATATATATATCAATATATATATATTGATATATTGTGTATATATATATATATATATTTATATTTATATTTAAATATGTTACTATATATATATATTTGTGTGTGTGATTTGTTTGTTTGTTCCTTTATCTCTCCCTCTCTCTCCTTTATCTATGTACTTCTTGATTTATTGACTGATTTACTTTCTTTTTTTCGCCCCTTTATACTTGACACATGTTGTCTGTTACCCCAAAACTCAACCACAAAACAGAACCCACGCACCAAGCTGCTATCTTGTCTACGGGCATCTTGAGTCAAAAGTAAATAAGATGGACTACTGGACCTTGACCGGAAAGGAAAGGTTTATAAATGAATAAGTGGGTATGATTTACTCCACATTATTCAAGTCCCCCTAACCATGAACTGTACCGTGGTCAAAGGTCCCTAAAGATTCTGTACACATGGTTGCCTAGGGCCCTACAAGCTTCCATGAACCCTCGCATAAAACAAATGAAAGTTGACGGCTCTTAAGACGGATTCCAGGCAAGATATGAATTGATTTCATTGAGAAACCTACCATGCCTGACACTTCCAAGCACTACTGTGCCATGCAATTAATTACCGATGCTTCAAGTCCAACCGAATGTTGGCACGGCGCCGGAGCAGCCAATCACCATTATGCAGGAAAAGGATTAAGGCAATCTGACAAATAACCTACGCGATCCTAAACGGATGCTATTTAATTACGGACACGTGGGGTCCAATTAAAAGATGACTCAGCAAGATCAATAGTAGCAAAACATAGATGAAGCTTTGCTGCATGCATGCGACGACCAGATGACTTGATCATAACTAAGTCAGCCATCTATACAACGGTCATCAAGGATCCTACCGGTAAACAAAGGCTTGACCCAAGTTACCAGATGCGGTGTGACCTGGATGCGAGTCTTGGCAAACCATGCCAGCATGCAACTAAGTGAATGCTTAACTACCAATGCATGAAATCCAACGGATGCCGTGCAAGTATGAATTACCGATGCGCGGATGCAGGGGCGGCGCTTTGGCAGCCAACCTCCATTAGGCACGAATACAAGACTCAAAGATAAGACAGTGATAGTCCAAAAACACATCCACAAGAAATGACTCAGCAAAATCCAATGGGTGAAAAGTTCACAGATGGGACTTAGTCGCATCCATGCTGTGCTTACGGAGACTTGCCAACAGGTTGACACCTGAAAACTACCGGCGAATGACGGCTTAGCACATCACTATCCCATTGAACTTACAAACCATTCAGGTAACGGCAGAACATGGTGACAAAGAAGGCAACCTGACAAACGCCTTCATGACTGAAGTCCTTAGGACTGATGCGCGGTTTTAACAACTCAGTTGCGTTGACTGATAAGTGCACGAGTGGTGGGACCACCACACACATGTGCAACAAAAGTGACTTGGGATGCTTAGCAAAATCTAAGGCAGAGTCCATGGTCATGAAATCACTTAGGATCACCATGCATGACACGGATTAGGATTGACAAAAGACGAAACCTTGGAAGTGTGAAGACAAACTTAGTTATGCCAACAAACTGTGCGATTAGCAAAATACAGGGAGTTGAGGAAGCAAATCCTAAAGCTACAGATGGGACTTAGTCACATCCATGCAAATGACAAGCTTTTAGATTGCCAAGCATCTCGTGCCTTTCATGTTCAACAAGAATAAGGCATGCTTGGCGTCACTGCTGTCACCAGCAAAGTCTGCATCACAGTAAAAGGCAATATGCAGCTCACTCAAAGGATCCAATGCAACCATATGAAGTGCAAGACTGATCGCGGAAGACAAATAGCCAACCAAACGAGCAACTCGACGTTCGTCATTGGAGGACCAACAAGTGATGTGCTCCGCTAACAGGTTTACAGCACAAGTGATGTCCGGTCTTGATGTACGGCTTAGCCACATGAATTTCATCACCAACCGCGCCGCAACTGAAGACAATCGGCTTTTAACAGCATCCTCTTCAGCGGACAGAAATTCATCTTCAAGATGTGGTGATCCCGTGGCTTTTGGAGCTTTGCCACAAAGCTCATAGACTGACATTAACATGCGATCACCGTCAAACCACCAGACCGATGGCATGTTTTGAAATTCAGTTCCAGACATCTTCAACTTCAAAATGTCAGCCAAATGCAAAGACCAATGTGCGCTCGACTCTGGATGACCATGCAGAGCTTTATAAAGCCTGGCACGCGGCTGAACAATATGGCGCTTTTCAAAAGGAACTAATTCCGGTGGAAGCAAGACAAAAGTCGGATGTTTTGATTTGATTAAGCATTAGATATAAGCACGAATGCAATCCGAAGTGGTGCATGAATGATCTTCTGACATCGCATAGGAACTGCAATTGAACTGGGCACACTGGCATGGAACTCTTGAAACACTGCCGACAAACCGTCCGGATCACGAACGGCATCGCCACGAAAACCTATTCTCGCTTTGATTTTCCAATCAGATGGCTGTTTAACCAGCAACTGACGAACGTGCATGAGGTTCCTCGGGCTCATCATTGCTGTCAGGCGGACATTCAGGAACATCTTCATCGAACACTTCCTCTCTGATGGACGGTGAAGGGGAAACATCAAATTCGTCTGATATCAACACATTGTCGATTGCTGGCAAAGACGCAGACTGCAGAGCTTCAACTGGAGCAGGCTCGACAATGCCGCCAGATTCATCTGACTTGCCAAACGTACGTTCAAAGCGCTCAATGCACTCCTTGTTGTGGCAAGACGTGTCGATGTCACAACCTTTGCAACCAGGTGTTGCACCAATCTCCAGCATGCGCTTATACGTGGTGTAAACCCTTCGGCTCTTGCTTGGCTTCCGGAGTGCTATCAACAAACGGAATGGGCAGTGACTGTATGTCCAAAAACTCTGCGCGTCGGGGAACCCCAAGATTATGCAAAGCCTTTTCTGCCGCCAAGTGCCAAGGAAAAGTCATTTCTTTTGGAATGTAAACTTCTGCATCATGAAATTGTGAAATAGGAATCACGCTGAGATCTTCCTTGAGATGACTGTACAAAACAAAGTACAAGAGACCTTTGCATCGAAGGCCAAAATCTAACCTCCAACCAACAAAGATCGCAGGCTCAGCATTGGGACTGAGTTTGAACTTCCCTTGTTGCTTGTTGCTTGGTCCTTACAAATGCAAGTTGGCAAACAAGCAAATATATAGTCAGGACCAAAAAAATCATCACCAAAACCTTTCCTCCAACGAGTTATCCCGCTAATGGGGAAACGCATGATGAAGCATTCTGGTTTTGATACAGAAAAACTAATAATAGATTATACATTGTCATATTGTATACCAGCAACCTGTGGCATTCTCAATGCATTTTAAGAGGGAATGATGCTGAATCACCAGTTGGTGAAATTAGGCACCCTATTCTTGGACAAAAAACATGTTAAGCAATGGCTAGTTAAAACCCCTATCTGATGGTTTTGTGTGTTGGGATTATATTCACAGTATGCTGAGTGTCTCAGCATGATCGGCTGATATATGCTGATATCACAAACCATACGCTCCCCAGCCCAGTATCGACAGGAGTATCTGGAGGCCTGTTACTCGACAAACCAAATCACTTCTTTACCCTCGATTGTCTAACATAGCTATCCCACCATGGCTTCCACAGCAAAGTGTTAACTTGCCGGAGGGTATCCGGCAAGTGATAAAGATGCAAACCAGCGGCCATAATTGCTGCCGCATAACTGCAAGCTTGCGGCCGCAGCTGTGGACGTGCAGCAAAACCTGCTGAAGAAAAAGTGACCGAGCTACTTCTTGAAACGATCGGATTTCACGTTCCAGGTGCGGGTTGTGAGGAAAACAGCTTGGCACAGAAGCTTCCGAAAGCCAACCTTGCCCAACTACCGCTGTAAGAATCTCGCCAGCAGCATCTGACTTCACAAGTGTAAAATCATTACCACGTAAACCAACGAAGCGCTTGAAAGATGAGGCCACTTGTGCAGCATCCCTGGAAACTGAAGGATATGCTTGAATGACTTTTGAGAAACGATCTTGGGTGATGAATACAGCATGTTCTTTTCCCTTTGCTGATTTGAAAAAATGATGTGATCGCATGCAAGCTGTTGACCAAAGGCATCTGGGTCCGGCAAGTCAATGCGATCATCAGACTGACGGACTGAGTGCGCTCTCTTGCTGTACAACCGGGCACGATTGCAAACATCACAAAAGGGTGATATTGGCCAATGAGTCAAACAATGTTCTTTTGATAATGCAATACCTCGACCCTCTGCAACTTTATCTGGAAGCTCAACTGGAGCGTCAACAATCTTTGGGGCACCATGCTCAACAGCGACGCCACCACGTCCTTGAGGAGCATGGACAACAACAGGCTGGAACAATGGACCTGCATCCAAAACTGGAAAAGCTTCAGGGGATTCAACAGGTGCAGGCACGCCAGGAATGAGATTAAACTTTTGGGTGAAGAATGAAACATGCTCATGAACTCTAGATGCATGAAACTTGGAACCCTCATCGCAATCAACAAACATCTTTGCCCCCTTCTTGACATAAAACGGCGGTTCACCTGGCATCCACACAAATGACATACCGTCCGCAACATCCCTCCCAATCGACTGAACAAAAGGGCAACAAGGAAGCACAAAGTGATTGGCATCTGAAAAGTTCTCTACAGCTTGAAATCCAAGAGCTAAATTTGAATCTCTTTGTCCCCCCCAGTGTGAAAACGGAGAGACTCACGCGATGGACGAAGGAAAGGCTCAATAACCGAAGAATTAACTCCCTGCTGTGCCAAAACCTCATGAGAAACCAAGTGGCAACCGGCCCCACTGCCTGCAGCAAATTCCAAAAGACCCTCAACTGGAGAAACCATAGCTAAGAGTGCAACTGCAGCCATAACCTTTGGCTTAGCCGCTGGTTTGGACGCTGGCTTCGCTTTGTGCTTGGTCTCTGAACTAGTCCCCCCTGAATTGGCCTTCTTGGAGGAATTATGAAGATATGAGCACTTGTCACCGTGAACACACCCAGTCAGCATTTGGTAAAAGACACATGGCTTTTTCTTCTGGAGACATTTTCCCTTTCGATTTGCCTTCTCCACCCTTCTGATCATTCTTGGTAGGATCTTCTTTCGGCTTCGGAGTTGCGGCAGGAGCCGCCTTCGGTTGCTTCTTCCCTATTTTAGAGTCAACTCAATTGCCCTGGCATTGGCGTCCTCCCTCTCTTCAACCAACAACTGTTGCAAACGACCCCACAAGAAAGGAAAATTCCGCTCATCGGCTTTCAAATTTGACATTTTGATGGTTTCAATTGTGCGTTCCAACTTTCGCACATTGCGCAACTGATGGAACAACCATTCACCAAGCATACGTTCATGTGGCCAGTCATCTGCAGGGATTGAATTCAAGGTCTTCATTGTCAAACTTGAAAATTCCTGCAGATCTTTGATGGAATAGCCCGGCATCGTAACCTGGAAAATGCTTTGGGTAGTCGACAAAGCCCCCCTGTTTCGGTCCAAATCAAGGTGTCTGAAAATCATATGCAAGATGGCACAACCTCTGGGCGCTTGCACTTTATAATCTTGGACATAACCTTGGACACGAAAAGAAAGCTCTGGAATGCTCTTGAGAGACTTGATCAATTCACCGGCCAACCAACGGTCAAGGCGTGGAAACAGACCAGAGGAAGATTCAACTTCCTTGTCACCGTCAACCTGAAAGGATGGTGACACCCATAAAGTAAGGGCTTCATTACTGGAGATGTCAAGCCTGCCAAGTAAAAGAACGAGGGCGTTCTTCCAACCATGGTGTTCGGCCGCATTGTTGGGAAGAGGGTCAACGCGAGCACTCTGCACGGCTCGTGCATCAACTACATCTGGATCGGCTGGACAAAGGCAAGGTAGGAGGGACACTTCGAACTGGCAAACTATCCGCGACATTTCGGCTTTCAACATGATGAAGACGGCTGGAAAAGGACTGCTTCCATCATGGTGAACACCGCATTCCGCATCTCCCCCTCAAACGACTCATGCCTCTCTGCTAGAACACTCTGTTGCACAGCGGTGGCGCTCGACGCAGCCAAACCCGCCTCAAGCGCTTGGCACTGGAGCTGAAGTTGAGAGATTTCACCGTCTTTCTGATCAAGTTCGTAATCTTTATTTTGGGACTCATTCAACATCCGCTGGATTTCGGAGTCTTTGTGCCCTACTATCCTAGTGGCATTTTCATTCTGGAAAATCTGCTGTTGGAGTTGGGATTTGACGGATTCCACTTCCGAAGACAACTGCTGCAGTGACAAGCCCTTGGATTGATTCAATTGGATTTGCTCCCCAATTAACTGGTCCTTTTCCAAGCACGACTGATGAGGTTGTTGGGAAATTGGAAATTGGCACAAGCTGTTGAATTTGTTGGCAAGCTTGGCTATAAATCTCCTTTGAGAACCCTTCAGAGTGACATGCACGATCTTGGGCATTTGAAATCAAAACCTCGGCTTCACCAACCATCTTAGCATATCTTAGCAAAGTCAACAGGGTCAACACCAACAGCCACCGTTTGAACACGATCGAATCATGAAGGTGAATTTCAGGTGGGCGACTACAAGGACTAGGACCATGATGGGAACTCTTTGGCAATGACTTAACAATCGATGACACCGACTTCTTCACCTGCGACGGCGTTCGACGTTTTGAGTTTCCGTTCCGACGTGACGAGCTGGAACTACGACTGTCTGATCTTGCCTGAGAGACGGCAACTGTTCCGGCAGGAACTGAAACATCTGCTGATTCCGAACTGATGCTCAAACTTGACATTGGATCTGAACTTGACATGACTGAAAGGAAAGTCCACAAACAGAACACGGTTCCACATGTGATCATAAGGAACAATACAAAGCCGTGGCGCTTGAAGCAGTCAAACAAGGTGGTTATTAAATGCGAAGTCTAAAAGAAATCCAAGCAATCCCTTCTCACTGAAGCGCTGACGCAGCTATGCAGTGAGGGGCGCAGGACGTTCAAATGCAGAAAGTAAATTCAACGCAATCAGTTGCAAAAGGTGCAAGAGCCAAAATGCACTCCAATCTGAAAGAGACAAATCCAAATCCCAATGCAATTGCTTGAAACCACCGCTGATGACGCAGTGAAACAACCAAAGAAGCTTGCAATGAAACACAAAAGAAATGCTGGCTCTTGCAAAAGAGGTCCAAGGCAAATCACAATCAAATTCCACAATGAGAGATGTTTGGGAAATGCCAAGCTGATGAAATCAAGTAAATAAAGTCAAGTCAATGATATCGCCGTGGCAAAGTGCCAAACTTCTGAAGAACACTCAACGCAAAATGCCGAGAACTCAAATTGTAGTCTTGGGTTGATACTCAAAGCAAAATGCCGAGACCCTGAAGACACACACACACACAGCATAATGCCGATAAAAATTTGGAGCACGGTACTCCCATTGTGGCGCTGACGCAATCTTTCAGCAGTGAGGCACTTCAGTCACTGCTCCTAGAAAAGTATTTTACAAACTGATTTGCCGTCGACAAAAGAGGATCCGAAGAAATTGCCCAGCCAATGCGACCCTCGATCAATATACCTGAGCGGCGAGATCTTGGCTTCAGAACTCGAACAGTCTTCCCAGAACGGATCCATCGACCATGTGCAGGCTTTCAGGGAGCCTGCCAAACAAACAAATGTATGGTGGGGTAAAAAGGAACCAACCACAACAGCAACAATCAAAGAGACCGATACGGCTGATAACCACTTGAAATGTTGTCTGTTTTCCCAAAACTCAACCACAAAACAGAACCCACGCACAAAGCTGCAATCTTTTCTACAGGCATCTTGAATCAAAAGTAAAAAAGATTGACTACTGGACCTTGGCCGGAAAGGAAGGGTTTATAAATGAATAAGTGGGTGTGCTTTACTCCACATTATTCAAGTGTTTTATCGTCTTTATTATATTTGTGTGTACCCATGAGTACGTTTGTTGTACATACGGTTGGCGGGTCTCTTTGCTCTTCACTCAAATTCTGCGCGTATCTCACGTCCTTTATCTTTACTCCTGTATCTTGTCGAATCGTGTCCTTGTGCATGTATATATGTATGTGTATATATATATATTGCACATACATAGCGTGCCCATCCATTCAATCTTGAAGTAAAAGCCGAAAATGCCTGCGAGATCCCCAGCGGAAGATTTCTAGGAGATCCCCAGAGAGGGGTGGAACCTGCACATGACATACAAACAATCAATAGATTTATCGTGATACATCTATCAATCATCTATATATGCCTACACATATCCATATAGTATTGCATGTAAGGTCTGAACCACTTTCATTTGAGAACTGCAAGCCCGTCAATCTTCAACTGAAGGGTTTTTTGTTGGCAAACGCCGAACCATCCACCAATGGAGCAGACTCTCGCCCCGGTTCGAACCAGCAGCTGTAGCAGTAGGGGTTGTGATCCATGATGCAATACGCGCTGCAGATGTCGCTCTTGCCTTGGATGGGGGTATGTGGGGGGGTTCTTCACCAGCAAAGGTTCATATGGTGTCCTCAAAAAGATAGAAATACGGATTCCAAAGTAGTTTGACGATGCTTTGGATTCATAAGTACAACATTTGCCAGGGACCAGGGGCTCTTGGATTTTTGAGGGGAAATCTAAAGAGGCCAAATCCAAAGCTGTTCTCGGCTCCTTCAAAACTATGGTTCGAAGCGACATATACACATACACACACACATATATATATACACACACATGTGTATATATATATATATATACGTATATGTACACATACTTGAGAGGGGGAACCCAGAAAGGTAGGTGATCAAGAAGGGGAAGCAAAGCCTCTCCATGTAAAAGCTGGCTGTGTGTAAAAACGTGCTGTGTGCACAAGCTTGTGTGTAAAAGCGTCTGTGTAAAGACTGCCGTGCATAAAGACTTCTGTGCGTAAAGGCTTCTGTGCGGAAAAGTTTCTGTGTGTACAAGCTGCTCTGGGTAAAGATTTTGCATGTAAAAGTTTCGGTGTGTAAAAACTTCTTTGTGCAGTCTGTGTGGGCAAATTTGTGTGTGTGTGTCAAAGCTTTCCTGTGTAAAAGTTTCTTTGTGTAAAAGTTGTTCTGTGCAAAGGTCTCTCTGTGTAAAAGGTTCTGTGTGTAACAGCGCTTGTGTGCCTTTATTTATGCATGCAAAAGCATCTTTGTGCAAAGCATCGGTGTGTAAAAACTTCTGTGTGTAAAAACTTCTTTGTGTAAAAGCCTCTGTGTGTAAAGGCGTCTGCGTGTAAGAGCTCTTCTGTGCACAAACCTCTCTGTGTAAGAGTATCTGCGCATAAAAGCTGCTCCCCGTACAGGTTTCTGGGCGTAATGTCGTCTGTTTGTGGAAGCGTATTGGTGCAAAAGGCGTCACCACAGCCAAATCGCAGAAAACAATGAAACACAAGAATCCAAACTCAAATGTTTGCTGCCGTTACGTTGTTGATGATGGCCGTGATGCGGGCAGGGCCCCACAAGGCTTCATTTTGGCTGTGCTAAGCCAATTTTAAAAAGCCTGCGGGACAAAAAACACCGCACATTTCCATGATTTTGGCGCCTCACAGGCCAAAAACCACGGTGCTGTTGCTGTTGCTGTTGCTGTTGCTGTTGCTGCTGCTGCTGCTGCTGCTGCCGGCGGTGGTGGTGGTGGTGGTAGTTGTGGTGGTACAAACAAAGACTGGGGCCCTCAAAACAAGCTACCCGAGCTTATTTTGGAATTTGCTTGGTGTTCCTGCAGGGCGACCATGGAGTTTTCCACCGTTTTGAAAAAGAACTTTGGTGTAGACTTTTGGCTCCTTTTTTTAATTAGGTTAAAGATGGTTAAAGCTTCCTGGGCTCTTTTTTGACTGCTCAGCAGCCGAAATCTTGCAAAAAGGTGTCCAGCAGGGTCGTTTTGGATCATTATGATTTTTCTGGTTGCTGGGCCCCTTTTTGGTGCTCCAACGGCCCAAATCTATCAAAAAGGGGTCTGGCAGCCTCAATTTTGGATTTCCATGATCCGACGTTTCATTTTCTAGCTGCTGGTCCCCTTTTTGTGCCGTCAGCGGTCTGGATCCTCCAAAAAAAGGTCCCCCGCAACCTGACTTCAGACTTGCCACCTTTTTTCGCTTGGATCCCGCCGGGGGGGTCCAGCCTCCTCCTCCGCCGCCGCCAACCTCACTCATCATTCACCACTCTTCACTACACTACTTATCACCTCTCACTCATCATTGACCACTCTTCACTACACCACTTTTCACATCTCACTCATCAATCATTCACCACTCTTCACTACACTACTCATCACACTTCCTGGCTGCCTTTCGCGTGGCAGGCGCAATACACAGAGCCTCCTGGAGGAGGTGCGGCGCGCGTGGGCGCCGATGGGCCGCGGCTGGCTTTCGTGTGGCAGGCGCAGTACACAGAGCTTTCTGGCTGCCTTTCGCGTGGCAGGCGCAGTACACAGAACGCGCAGTACACAGAGCTTCCTGGCTGCCTTTCGCGTGGCAGGTGCGGTACACAGAGCCTCCTGGAGGAGCTGCGGCGCGTGGGCGCCGCTGGGCCGCGGCTGGCTTTCGTGTGTGCTCTCCGATATTTTAAGTGATTTCAGAGATTTGTCAAGCGTCTTTTGCTGCGTAGCATGTGACACGTTTTGTGCGATTTGAGCAAGTCGTCTGCACGTTTTGAGCTTGATTTCCAACTTTCCTGACAGCGCGTTCAGATTTCGAACGCGGAACAACGATTTCAAACTTTGACAGCGCGTCGAGATTTCGAACGCGGAAAGCACACAGCGATTTCAATTTTGCAGAAACATGTAGACGTGCGAATGAGGAATTTATAATCAGCTGCGGTACAGCTTATGAGTTTGAAGCCTCCAGAAATCGTTTTTGGACGTTTCCACGTTTGAGACTTTTTGAAGGATCTCCTATTGTCTTGCGTTTCCTGGATCCAAGCAATCTGTGAGATCGAAGTTTTTAGAACCGCTTTTGGTCACAACATTTCCAATGTGAGAGCCCTGCAAATTTGCAAGAATTTTTCCGAACTGGAGTAAGCAGACATGACGTCTGAACCGAGTGTGAGTTTGGAAACAATTAATCATTAAAGAATTTGACTGCAACCAAGCTTTCAGCTTTCTCTCTCTCTCTCTCTCTCTCTCTGCTGCCACAGCATTGTGAACATGCTCAGCCGCATCGTGCTTCCTTTGATCAGCGAGATCAGCATTCCGCCGACAACATGTTGGCTCAAGATTAGGAAGCCTGAATTCTGCTAGCACGGTGAGACAAAAAGGGCGTGAGTTGTCAAGCAGAGTTGTCCAGGCTCTCAGTTGCAATTATCTACTCTTCTGGGGTAATAATTCTCGCAGTGGTGGTGGTGGTTGCTGTTGTTGTGGATGTTGTTCTTGTTATTGCTTTTGGTTCTTGTTTCTTGTTCTTGTTCTTGTTGTCGTTGCTGTCGTTGCTGTTGTTGCTGTTGTTGCTGTTGTTGCTGTTGTTGCTGTTGTTGCTGTTGCTGTTGTTGCTGCTGTTGTTGCTGTTGCTGTTGTTGCTGTTGTTGCTGTTGTTGCTGTTGCTGCTGTTGCTGTTGCTGTTGTTGTTGTCACCCCCGTTGTTGGTGTGCCCGTGTTTTTTGAAACTCTCGGAGCAAAAAAACACCCTATATAAATACCAATGTTTTTTGCGCCTCGGACCCAAAAACCACGGTATTTACAGTGTTCTTTGGACAGCACCAAGCAAAAACACTGGTATTTGCGCAGCTTTCGGCATGTTGCAAGACGTTATTTTTCCATGCAAAAATCACAAAACGCAAGTAAATTACAGTGTTTTGGGTCTGATTTAGAGTTTGTGACGGGGTGGGGGGGGTCGGAGGTATCTAAAATGAATGGCAACCTCCTGAATAATCAGGTAACTGGGCTGGCACACACCTTTTACTGCGTAAAGCAAAACTCAAGGTAGCACCACTGGAGCTACTTCCTGATATATGCATGTATACATGTGTATATATAAATAAATAAATAAAATAGTAAATAAATACATAAATAAATAAAAATGTAAATAAAATAAATAAAAAATAATAAATAAATAAATGCATCCATATATGTACTACATGCATATATATATATATATATCTATCTATCTATCTATCTATCTATCTATCTATTTAATCTAATCTAATCTATTCTAATCTAATCTAATCTAATCGAATCTATCTAGGGATCTATTTGTATATCCGCCGACCCCGGCAGACGCAAGGGGGAGCGCGCCAGGGAATAAGACAAGCAAAGACTAGCAAGTTTAGCCGCACTAGCAGCAAGAGCAGCGGCAGTGGCAGTAGCAGCGGCAGCAGCGAGTCGGCAGCTGCGGCAGCAGCATCAGCGGATGGTGTTTCCCTGTCCGGGATCCACGTTTTTGCAGCAGCCAGCAGGCAGCTAGGATTTTCTAGCAGCAGCAGCAGGAGCAGCAGCAGCAGCAGCGATTCTCGGACTCGTTCGTCCGTCAGGGCCATGGTATTTCCCCGTCCGGCAGAGCCGTGTGGCTGTGTTTTTGTGCAGTGGCAGGGGCAGCAGCAGCAGCAGCCAATTTTTTGCAAGTTTTCTGCTTTCTTTCTAGGGTTTCAGACGTGACGTTAGAGAGTTTTTGGGTGGGATTCTCGGATTCGTTCGTCCTTGAGGGCCATGGTGCTTCCCCGTCCGGCAGGGCTGTGTGGCCGTGTTTTTGTGCAGTGGCAGCAGCGGCAGCAGCAGCAGCAGCTAATTTTTTGTAAGTTTTCTGTTCTGTCTCTAGGGTTTCAGACGTCACGTTAGAGAGTTTTTGGGTGGGATTCTCGGACTCGTTCGTCCTTCAGGGCCATGGTGTTTTCCCATCCGGGAGCTGCCGTTTGAACAGAAGGAGCAGCAGGAGCAGGAGCAGCAGCAGCAGCAGGAGGAAAAAGTGGCTAAAATCTCATCGTTTTCTATGGGTTTCAGAAGTTACATTAGGCACTTTTTGCGTGCAATTTTGATGCCTTTCCGCCCTTCACTGCCATGGTGTTTCCCATCCGGGAGCTGCCGTTTGAACAGAAGGAGCAGTCAAAAGCAAGAGCAGGGGCGGCAGCAGCAGCAGAAGGAAAAAGTAGCCAAAATCATTCTTTTCTATGGGTTTCAGAAGTTACATTAGGCACTTTTTGGACGCAATTTTGATGCCTTTCTGTCCCTCACTGCCATGGTGTTTTCCGATCCGGGAGCTGCCGTTTGAACAGGAGCAGCAGGAGCAGAAGCAGCAGCAGCAGCAGGAGGTGTTTTGCTGCCGGGAGGTGATTTTTTCCATGATGTTTTCCAATTTCGGGCCGGATGTAAAGGTGGCCAAAAGTCATAGCAGCAGCAAGAGGAAAAGGAGCCAAAAGCATCATTTTCTATCGGTTTCAGAAGTTACGTTAGGCATTTTCGAGGTGTCATTTTGGGGCTTCTCCGTCCTTCAGAGGCATGGTGTTTTGCTGCTGGGAGGTGATTTTTTCTATGGTGTTTTCCCATTTGCGGATTGGATGTAAAGGTGGCCAAAATTCATAGCAGCAGCAAGAGGAAAAAGCAACCAAAAGCATCATTTTCTATCGGTTGCAGAAGTTACGTTAGGCATTTTCGGGGTGCAAGTTTGGGGCTTCTCTGTCCTTCAGAGGCATGAGAGGAAAAAGCAGCCAAAATCATCATTTTCTGTGGGTTTCAGAAGTTACGTTAGGCATTTTCGGGGTGCAATTTTGGGGCTTCTCCGTTCTTCACTGCCATGGTGTTTTCCCATCCGGGGACCAGCAGCAGCAGCAGCAAAAGCCTTCATATTCATAGCAGCAGCAAGAGGAAAAAGCAGCCAAAATCATCATTTTCTATGGGTTTCAGAAGTTACGTTAGGCATTTTCGGGGTGCAATTTTGGGGCTTCTCCGTCCTTCACTGCCATGATGTTTTCCCATCCGGGGACCAGCAGCAGCAGCAAAAGCCTCTGCAGCAGCAGGAGGAAAAGGTAGCCAAAATTCATAGCAGCAGCAAGAAGAAAAAGCAGCCAAAATCATCATTTTCTATGGGTTTCAGAAGTTACGTTAGGCATTTTCGGGGTGCAATTTTGGGGCTTCTCCGTCCTTCACTGCCATGGTGTTTTCCCATCCGGGGACCAGCAGCAGCAGCAGCAAAAGCCTTCATATTCATAGCAGCAGCAAGAAGAAAAAGCAGCCAAAATCATCATTTTCTATGGGTTTCAGAAGTTACGTTAGGCATTTTCGGGGTGCAATTTTGGGGCTTCTCCGTCCTTCACTGCCATGGTGTTTTCCCATCCGGGGACCAGCAGCAGCAGCAGCAAAAACCTCTGCAGCAGCAGGAGGAAAAGTAGCCAAAATCATCATTTTCTATGGGTTTCAGAAGTTACGTTAGGCATTTTCGGGGTGCAATTTTGGGGCTTCTCCGTCCTTCACTGCCATGGTGTTTTCCCATCCAGCAGCAGCAGCAGCCAGCAAACTTCATATTCATAGCAGAGCAAGAAGAAAAAGCAGCCAAAATCATCATTTTCTATGGGTTTCAGAAGTTACGTTAGGCATTTTCGGGGTGCAATTTTGGGGCTTCTCCGTCCTTCACTGCCATGGTGTTTTCCATCCGGGGACCAGCAGCAGCAGCAGCAAAACTTCATATTCATAGCAGCAGCAAGAGGAAAAAGCAGCCAAAATCATCATTTTCTATGGGTTTCAGAAGTTACGTTAGGCATTTTCGGGGTGCAATTTTGGGGCTTCTCCGTCCTTCACTGCCATGGTGTTTTCTCATCCGGGGACCAGCAGCAGCAGCAGCAGCAAAAGTCTTCATATTCATAGCAGCAGCAAGAGGAAAAAGCAGCCAAAATCATCATTTTCTATGGGTTTCAGAAGTTACGTTAGGCATTTTCGGGGTGCAATTCTGGGGCTTCTCCGTCCTTCACTGCCATGGTGTTTTCCCATCCGGTGACCAGCAGCAGCAGCAACAAAAGCCTCTGCAGCAGCAGCAACAAAAGCCTTCATATTCATAGCAGCAGCAAGAAGAAAAAGCAGCCAAAATCATCATTTTCTATGGGTTTCAGAAGTTACGTTAGGCATTTTCGGGGTGCAATTTTGGGGCTTCTCCGTCCTTCACTGCCATGGTGTTTTCTCATCCGGGGACCAGCAGCAGCAGCAAAAGTCTCTGCAGCAGCAGGAGGAAAAGGTAGCCAAAATCATCATTTTCTATGGGTTTCAGAAGTTACGTTAGGCATTTTCGGGGTGCAATTTTGGGGCTTCTCCGTCCTTCACTGCCATGGTGTTTTCCCATCCGGGGACCAGCAGCAGCAGCAAAAGCCTTCATATTCATAGCAGCAGCAAGAGGAAAAAGCAGCCAAAATCATCATTTTCTATGGGTTTCAGAAGTTACGTTAGGCATTTTCGGGGTGCAATTTTGGGGCTTCTCCGTCCTTCACTGCCATGGTGTTTTCCCATCCGGGGACCAGCAGCAGCAGCAGCAAAAGCCTCTGCAGCAGCAGCAACAAAAGCCTTCATATTCATAGCAGCAGCAAGAAGAAAAAGCAGCCAAAATCATTATTTTCTATGGGTTTCAGAAGTTACGTTAGGCATTTTCGGGGTGCAATTTTGGGACTTCTCCGTCCTTCACTGCCATGGTGTTTTCCCATCCGGGGACCAGCAGCAGCAGCAGCAAAAGTCTCTGCAGCAGCAGGAGGAAAAGGTAGCCAAAATTCATAGCAGCAGCAAGAGGAAAAAGGAGCCAAAATCATCATTTTCTATGGGTTTCAGAAGTTACGTTAGGCATTTTCGGGGTGCAATTCTGGGGCTTCTCCGTCCTTCACTGCCATGGTGTTTTCCCATCCGGGGACCAGCAGCAGCATCAGCCGCAAAATTTCTCTGCAGCATCCCACAAGCAAAGAAAAAGGTGCCAAAATTCATAGCAGCAGCAGAGGAAAAACAGCCAAAATCATCCTTTTCTTATGGGTTTCAAGAAGTTACGTTTAGATCATTTTCGGGGTGCAATTTTGGGGCTTCTCCGTTCGTCACTGCCTGGGTTTTCCCATCCGGGGACCAGCACAGCAGCACAAAAGCCTTCATAGTCATAGCACACAAGAGGAAAAAAGCGCCCAAATCATCATTTTCTATGGGTTTCAGAGTTACGTTATGCCTTTTTCGGGGTGCAATTTTGGGGCTTCTCCGTCCTTCACTGCCATGGTGTTTTCCCATCCGGGGACCAGCAGCAGCAGCAGCAAAAGCCTCTGCAGCAGCAGGAGGAAAAGGTAGCCAAAATTCATAGCAGCAGCAAGAGGACAAGGGAGCCAAAATCATCATTTTCTATGGGTTTCAGAAGTTACGTTAGGCATTTTCGGGGTGCAATTCTGGAGCTTCTCCGTCCTTCACTGCCATGGTGTTTTCCCATCCGGGGACCAGCAGCAGCAGCAGCAGCAAAAGTCTCTGCAGCAGCAGGAGGAAAAGGTAGCCAAAATTCATAGCAGCAGCAAGAGGAAAAAGGAGCCAAAATCATCATTTTATTCATTTTCTATGGGTTTCAGAAGTTACGTTAGGCATTTTCGGGGTGCAATTCTGGAGCTTCTCCGTCCTTCACTGCCATGGTGTTTTCCCATCCGGGGACCAACAGCAGCAGCAGCAAAAGTGTCTGCAGCAGCAAGACGAAAAGGTAGCCAAAATTCATAGCAGCAGCAAGAAGAAAAAGCAGCCAAAATCATCATTTTCTATGGGTTTCAGAAGTTACGTTAGGCATTTTCGGGGTGCAATTTTGGGGCTTCTCCGTCCTTCACTGCCATGGCGTTTTCTCATCCGGGGACCAGCAGCAGCAGCAGCAGCAAAAGTCTTCATATTCATAGCAGCAGCAAGAGGAAAAAGCAGCCAAAATCATCATTTTCTATGGGTTTCAGAAGTTACGTTAGGCATTTTCGGGGTGCAATTTTGGGACTTCTCCGTCCTTCACTGCCATGGTGTTTTCCCATCCGGGGACCAGCAGCAGCAGCAGCAAAATCATTGCACACATCGTTGTCGCTCCATATGGCTTCACATCATCAAGTTTGTGGTCACACAGCTTTCCGCGTGGAACTGTTTTCGTGCTGCTCTCGAATTGTTTTGCTGGACTGCTACATAACATTACAATACATTACATAACTATCTCGCCTGCGAATGGCACAGCAACCACGACATGACCATTCTTCCGGGGTCGGCGGCAGGGGCGGCAGCCCTTAAATATATATATATATGTATATATACATGGTGATTTTCGATTCTATCAGAAATCTGCAGACTTCCAAACATCTGTAAATCCTTAGTTTCTCCGTTTCCCAAGGCACTGGTCATCTCAAAGGGATAGAAGACGCGATGATCTAAGCGTGGATGATGTGGTGCCAGCCCGGTGACCGGTGGGGAGCTGCTGCTGTGGGTCTGGTATTTGTAGGGATAGGTCTTCCAGGTCTTGCCTCGGGCTGAAGATGGCTGATGGCCATTTTAAAGCGGATTTGGAAAGCTGGAATCACTGGAATCCCGTGTTGTGAAGATGTTTGGGGGAACACTTAAATGGTTTCAATCTGGATGTGTTTGAGGTTGTCTAATGAAAAATAAGGTCAGTGCCATGTTGCGTTACACTACCCTCTGATAAGAGTGTGAACGGAGGGTCTGCCATTTGCGGATGATACAAGACATGTATAGAAATGACGATTTCTCATTGCCTTGTTTACTGGAGACGAGTGCCTCATTGGCACCGGAAGTGTGTTCGAGCTCCGCTTCATGAAAAAAAACTACATCTTGAAAAAAAAATTGTCCATGCAATTACGTTCACACACATACATATATGAATGTATACATTTGCTTATCATATATACATATATATATATCCCTATATTTCTCCATGGTGCATCCCTCAACTGGCCCATGGCTTCGGCTCGCACATGTTTCTAGCAGCACTTTCTGGGGTATGACAAAGGCCATCACAGGCACTGTATGTCTCAGTGGCGTTGCAGAACCGGCGGGTTTCCACGACGCGGTTCATCGCTTCAGTGGGCATCAGGTGGCTCCACAGGTCGACCAGTTGGATGTGGCAGTGGGGCAGAGATGTATATGCATACATACATATATGTATATACAATATATATGCATGATATATGCTGCATACTTAATACAATCATATAATATATATAGAGAGAGAGAGAGAGCGACGGGCCGAAACTTAGAATATCGTCACTTTTTCCAAAATGTTTGACCCAGAACTTAGAATATCGCCACAATGGCGCGTCCGTATATAATCTTAGAATATCGCCGCAAAAACTAAGCTATAGCTTTTGATCGCGGCGATGTTCTAAGATTCGGCCCAATTTTGTTTTCTCGCTGTTGTGGCACTTGTTCATTAATTTTCCCGATTTCCAAGATTCGGCCCAATTTTGTTTCCAATTTTGTTTTCTCGCATTTGTCGTCCTTTTTCATCCTTTTTCCCAAGTCTGTTTGATCTTTCCATGCATGATGAATTCTGGCATTTTGTGAAGATTAGCATAAATCACCAAACAACAAAAACACCTTCCAAACCATGTTTTGCCATGTTCTAATCACAAGAAAAATGAAACAAGTTCCCGTCGGAGCCATTTTGATGCATATACACGGCAAATTGTGAAGATTAGATAAGATTAGCATAAATCACCAAACAACAGAAACGCCTTCCAAACCATGTTTTGCCATGTTCCAAGCTTCTTTTTTTCAACTTTAATTCCAAGACTCACAAGAAAAGTGAAACGGTTTCCGTCGGAGCCATTTTGATGCATATACACGGCAAGTTGTGAAGATTAGCATAAAGCACCAAACAACAGAGACGCCTTCCAAACCATGTTTTGTCATGTGCTAAGCTTCCTTTTTTCACCTTTAATTCAACAATCACAAGAAAGTGAAAAAAGTACCCGTCGGAGCCATTTTGATGCATATACGCGGCAAATTGTGAAGATTAGCATAAATCATCAAACAACAGAAACCCCTTCCAAACCATGTTTTGACATGTGTTAAGCTTCCTTTTTTCACCTTTAATTCCAACAATCACAAGAAAAGTGAAAAAAATACCCGTCGGAGCCATTTTGATGCATATACACGGCAAATTGTGAAGATAAGCGTATATCACCAAACAACAGAAATGCCTTCCAAATCATGTTATGCCATGTTCTAAGTTTCCTTTTTTCAACTTTATTTCCAGCAACTAGAAGAAAAGTGAAAAAGGTACCCGCCGGAGCCATTATGATGCATATACACGGCAAATTGTGAAGATTAGATAAGATTAGCACAAATCACCAAACAACAGAAACGCCTTCCAAACAATGTTTTGTCATGTGCTAAGCTTCCTTTTTTCACCTTTAATTCCAACAATCACAAGAAAGTGAAAAAAGTACCCATCGGTGCCATTTTGATGCATATACACGGCAAATTGTGAAGATTAGAATAAATCACCAAACAACAGAAACGCCTTCCAAGCCATGTTTTGACATGTTCCAAGCTTCCTTTTTTCAACTTTATTTCCAGCAACTAGAAAAAAGTGAAAAAGGTACCCGTCGGAGACATTTTGATGCATATACACGGCAAATTGTGAAGATTAGATAAGATTAGCATAAATCACCAAACAACAGAAACGCCTTCCAAGCCATGTTTTGCCATGTTCCAAGCTTCTTTTTTTCATCTTTAATTCCAAGACTCACAAGAAAAGTGAAACGGTTTCCGTCGGAGCTATTTTGATGCATATACATGGCAAATTGTGAAGATTAGCATCAAGCACCAAACAACAGAGACGCCTTCCAAACCATGTTTTGTCATGTGCTAAGCTTCCTTTTTTCACCTTGATTTCCAGCAACTAGAAGAAAGTGAAAAAAGTACCCGTCGGAGCCATTTTGATGCATATGCACGGCAAATGATGAAGATTTGCGTATATCACCAAACAACAGAAATGCCTTCCAAATCATGTTTTGACATGTTCTAAGCTTCCTTTTTTCAACTTTATTTCCAGCAACTAGACGAAAAGTGAAAAAGGTACCCGCCGGAGCCACTATGATACATATGCACGGCAAATGATGAAGATTAGCGTATATCACCAAACAACAGAAATGCCTTCCAATTTTTGTTTTGACATGTTCTAAGCTTCCTTTTTTCAACTTTATTTCCAGCAACTAGAAGAAAAGTGAAAAAGGTACCCGCCGGAGCCATTATGATGCATATGCACGGCAAATGATGAAGATTAGCGTATATCACCAAACAACAGAAATGCCTTCCAAATCATGTTTTGACATGTTCTAAGCTTCCTTGTTTCAACTTTATTTCCAGCAACAGGTGTTATCGTGTTTATGCCCGTAAGCGTGGATACATACGTGTACATACATGTGCAAAGAAATCGCGTCTGTATTTCATGCGTGGTTTGCGCGCATCCTGTTGGTCGTAGATTCGATAGAGACGAATGGTGGCCACGGTGGATCCATAGAATTTGGAAATCCAGTATAGATGGAGGTGTGTGGAGGTGTTATTCCTGGGAAAACCACCCTATAAATGGTGAATTCTCCAGCAAGCCATGTTTGATTACCGGAGGGTAACATAGGAGGCTGGAAGATTACTGCCAGCGATTACTTTCCACAAAAATGTGCCTATTTTCGGGGTCTATGTGGAGTTTTTTGGAGTCTAGAGTGAGATGAGTTTTCCACCCTTACAAACACGTTGCCGGAGAACAAGCATCCAGTTGTTGATCTATCAGCCGGAAGGTTGGTGGTCTTAAGCTAATGAGGCACAGCGAAAAACACATGCAGAGATCAAGGAACTCGCCGTGGCCACATCGGCGACACCAGGCAACAACGGCTGGGCATGGATCTGAGGGACTTCTTGTACTATGAAATCATGATTTTCATATGTTTTAATGGTCCGAAACGGCAAGAAAAATGCATCTATAACTCTTGGAGGTTTTTGCCAATTTAGCCAACAGACAGACAGACAGACGGACAGACAGACAGAGACAGACAGACAGACAGATAGATAGACAGATAGATAGACAGATAGATAGACAGATAGATACGAAAGCATCAAGAATGAAGATTTGCGCCTGGCAATTTCGCATGGCCACTGAAAACCATGCAATTGTCGCAAAAAGTGGACTTTCCCATGCTGTTTCCCTTTGCCTCAGGGCCCACGCCCGTGGCCTTTGACTTAGTCATCACTCGGCGGTTACCCGGTAGCAACATCCATTCCAGAGGCCTTGTCGTAGCAATAGCCAGGGGTGTTGCTGACCCTGGGGTCTGCCACACTGGTGTGGTGCATCGATGAGAGGTGATCAACACAAGTCATGCCACCACCATACGCGACCTTTCAATGTTTCAATATTAGCTCGAAAAAACAAGTCAACAGGGCCCCTTGCTGCGTTGGGGCGGACCACCAGGGTTTAAAGTTTAAAAAGATCGGTGGTCGTGCAGTCACGACAGCCTAGCAGGTCCAATGAGCGACGCAGCAGCTATCCTAGCTGATATGAGAATACCAGAAGTGCGGAAGTCGATAATCTTGATGGATCAATGATCAATTTCCAGGAATTCAAAACATTAAGTTGCTGCGCGGCCCCATTGCGATCTTCGCAGGCTGGACCAAATTCGGCCCTAGTTTTAAAAGAGAAAGAGCTCCCACCATGGGGAGCTGAAACCGGGGCACCACCGGGTTCCCAATAATTGTGGGACCCAGGCTGCTTTCAGTCCAGCTATGGCTGCGGCAAGCCCAGTTATGGGCTGATCCGGCGGTCGAACTGGTAGGACATCCTTGGGGGGGCCATTCCGGTTTTCCCATGGCCAGGTTAGGAGGGAATCCCGACTTCCAGACCAGATTAATCCAAACCACCCGTCAATCATTGGGTGATGTGATAGGCCCAATGCCATAAACAACACCCTTTGGGCACGCTTGTTCAACACGACCCATTTACGGCAAATCATGGGACAATCAACACGGAGTCTGTGGCTTTGGATCTACAACTCAAAAAGATCCCACAATCAACCATGAAAGATGAACAGTTACCCTCCGGTAATCAAAGATAGCAATGGAAAATACCATAAAATCCCGCGTTATATAGATGAACTTCCCATGAAAAAAGAAACACTTATACACAGGGAAATTCCCATTGACCCCCACGTTTGATGCTCTCCGAGCGACTTTTTCACATGCTCGGAGATTTCATCATGCTCCGACCTTTCCTCGTACTCCTCTTCCGGCGCTGGGACACAGTCAATGGAGCGAGTCTTGCCGACACCCTGGTCGCGGTCACCAAAGATCAGCCCAATGTGTTCATCCGAGCTGATGTTCACACCTGGCTTTTGGGGAGGGAAACACCTTATTTTGGGATATTAGAGAAGAACAACTCAACTCAAATCAAAAAATAAACTAAAAATATTTCACAAAACATCACAAAACCCTGATTCGGAGGCTGATGATACTTGAGAACACCTTTGCCTTTGCCTTACTTTTTCTTTGTGTTGAATGATAGTTGATGAATTTACCTTTTGGGAGGGCAGTTGGAAATTCTATGAGAAAAAGTAAAAGGGTAACAATGATAAAAAGGATAACAACATAAGAAACAGACTAAGACCCACAGCAAGAATACGCCAATATTCAAAATTCCGATGATGTTCGTTGATATCTTCCAACAACAAAACTGCTTTCATGGCTCACATTGGAAATGGGCACCCATCCCAGCATAAGACAAAGGGATTGATCCATCAGAGTTCGTCCCCAGCAGATTCCGACCCTGCTTAATCAACCTCTTCAGATCCGGCCTGTCAGAATGGACAAGTGTTCCTTCAGTTGTTTGAGTTCCACTTCCACATAAGCTTGAAATTTGCCTGGCGCGTGGCCCTGAAGCATCCCTGGCTGATCTATGCCCCCAAGTGTTGCGGTTGAAACCCAAAAAAATATGATGTATCTGTATCATTGGATTGGTTTAAGGGAACATTTGCAGGAAACCATGGTTTTTACATTTTACCATCAAAGATGGGGGTTCCTGCAAATTTTCCCGTAAACCAATCCAATGAATGTAGTCTTTTGGGGGGTATCCCTTTGTGAACAATGCTTCCCAAGAAATGAAACAATCAACCCGTTCATGATGAGGGAAGAACGCCCAAGTTGAGTCCTAACTTCACTTTGTGATTTCTCCATGTCTTGATCAAAATGAACCACGTCACTTCAAGCAAGGCTAGGCCAGCCTCTGGAAATAAACCCATCCGTAAACCATTCATCAACCGTTAAATCACCATTTTCCTATGGTTTCCTACCATGTTTCCTAGGTGGTTTTACCACATGTCCCATCAAGCTTTCCATGAGATCCCCAAGTTGACAGGGCCTTGATTTTTGATCTGCCAAGTCTGGTCGTTGATGATTTTCCCTCGGTTAAATGACATGCACCATTTTCGAAGGCACTGTCCATCCATCCTTGAAAATCATCCCCCTTGGAATCTAGCCTGGAGGTAGCGCCCCCTCTTGGTACAGAAACAGCTTACAGAATGATGGGGCACAAGGTATTTTAACATGTTTTCAGTACAAGATATATAGTGGTTACAGGCACAGAAAGAGCTCACATGAACAACTTTCTGGATGATTTCTGTGCATAGTGTCATGGCACCCATACAATTTCAATTCCAACAAGGGGCTTGGTTCTGTACACACCCCTGTACATTTTGGAGAAACCAAGGTCACCATGTTAACCACCTAAAGTTCGATTTTGTACAGTCCATATCTCTGCCCAAAAAAATGAAGGTATTCGATTTTGTGCTGATGCTACCTCAGGGCCACAAACAATTAAATGCTATGAATGTAAAATATGTGGAAATATGTGATGGTAGTGGCCCCCTGTTTGGAACTAGATGCAAAGAATATACAATATTGGGAATACATATCATGGGTAGTGGCCCCCTGTTGGAAAGTTGCCGTCCCCAGCTCGGAGTCCACAAAATGGCACACCAAAATCCCTGGGAGTGCCATTTTGTACACCCACAGGGTGCAAAAAAAAGAGGATCCTGTACGAAATGATGCTCACCATGTCGATTTGGAATGATTTGGATGTGTACAAAATGGTTTTTCCAACCCCCAGATGCAATCTCTGTACAAAATGGGGATTGTTGATTCGACGTTAATTTGTGTACAAAATGGATCTTTGGTAGGGTGTTCCAAATGAGGTGCACCAACCTTGTTGCACCAATCGTCTTGAAGCCAAATTTCCCTGTACAAAATGTGAATGACCAACCCTTAGGAAAAAACAAGCTAAAATCTGTACAGAATGCCTCTAAAAGTGTACGAAATGAAAGGTTACATTTCGTACTACAAACTTCAAGGGGGATTGAAAATCAAGATATAGCTTTAGTTTCTCAAAGTGGAAAATTAGTATGTTGAAAATTTCCGAAATGATGTTTGGCTAATGAATTTAATTGGATTTAGTTGGGATTTGCAACTCATGGATTCTGACAATCCCCGCTATAGTAACGGGTACTGCAACCAAATCATCGGCCAACGCTAGAGCAACGACTTTGGGGCACCTGAAAATTCGGTGGAAGAAAAAAACATTAAAAAAACAAAAATTTCTGTCCCTCTGGTGCTTACTTTGCTTGGGCATGACATCAACAACAAAAAAAGTTGAAAATCGGATATAGGATGGATATAGGATGGTATGCGGGAATGCCTAAATACATTCAACTACCATAAGCGCATTTTCGGCAACCGAAAAAAAGATCCGATTCAGACCACCGAGGAGGTTGAAACCAGAAATGCCCCGACTTCTTCGATAGTGGGTGCCCCAACTATGCATACAAGCCAGTCATTACCATTCTCAGCAGATATAAGATACATGTCAACACTTCTGCTTTAAAGCTCAATCCTTGCATGTCAAAGCTGTTTCAACTTGAATTGTGACAATTGTGCAGTGGTTGGGCCAATCACTTACAAACCCATCATGCATGCTTTCAACCGCATTGCTGCGTGGAATATCAACGACGATTGGTTCCTGCGACCACAACCGATTCTGTCCATTGTCTGGAACGACTTTACCATCTTTTCCCCAAAAGAAGCGTGAAATGGTGATAAATCCGCCAAGTTTAGACAAACCCTTATCATAAGGAATTGTGACATCTATTAATCCATTTAGCTTGATTAATATAGTTTAATCATTATCATCCATTTTTCGGGCTGAAGTAATTCCCCCTCCAACCAAATCTCTCCCAAGCGACCAACATCCATAGCAGTGGCTTGCCCTCGTAATCGGAGGCAACCCATTAGGAATTCCTACCAGCGGAGTTGTGTGCTGGCGCTCTTTTATGGTTGAGCTATCCAATTCTGCATTGAAGCAGTACAGAAAATGAATCCAAATCATGTGGTAAGTTTTCATATATATATATATATACATAATATATATATATATATGTGTGTGTGTGTGTGGAAGCCATGGCCCATAGAAGTCGATTGTTTACCCATGAAACATGGTGATTTTACATAGCTATTTGCTATGCTAGATTACCTTACCGGGTAAACTGGGTAAACCCAGGGCCCAGTTTAACAGTCCCAATGACTTGCCACAAATAGCAGAAGCCATCCCCCACTTCACAGGATTATCATTGGGGCTAGATCAATGACGGTAATCAAACTCCTTATGGCTTTGAATTGGATTTGAATGGATCTAACCTGCCAGATATGGGAAACTAATGGAAACTACCTATACCTTGCCCATACTTATCACCCAACAACACCCTGACACAGCACGCTGGGAAGATGGGACGGCTTTTGTTTCCTCAATCTCGACTTCGCCCCCGCCATCTTCATCCAGGAGCTTGAAGAAGGACCAAGCGTCCCAAACATCCAAGCCTTGGGATCATCCGGGATGATCCGCAGCTTCGTTCATACTTGAAAAATGATAACTTGATCCATCGCCAAAGACACCCAAAGTCTGGAAATATTCCCGGACCTCTGCGGCTTTGAGATTCTTTTGGAACTGCTCAAAGGTAATCACTCCACCTGCGCCATTGGGTCATCCATGTCATCTAGCCGTAGCGGTTTGGTATAAAAGGGGCCCCAGTTGCGGCCCAAAAAAAGGACGAGAATACGGACACGATACACACCAACTATCAGAAAAGATGAAATGAACACGTATAATTAGATAGACAAGTAGGTAGGTAGGTAGATAGATAGATAGATAGATATTGATTGGGTAAACATCTGTAATGGGGCAAAATCTGTATTCAAAACTCCTGTACCCCATTCATCAACTCCGTTTGCCATGCCTTCCGCTCCAAACTTCTGGAAAAGCGTCGAGATCTTCGTCAGGTGCTGTTCCTGGCACAGGATCATTTTCCTCCACACTTTTTCGTCCCCAACAAGATGCACGAAAGTGGGAGACCTGGAAATGTGAAGTAAATATATGGTTTATCCCCAAAACTTTCAAGTATAGCTATCCATAACTATCCATACCTATATATCCATAGAGATGTAAATATTGTTGGCATCCTGGAAACCACCCTACCAAAGTAAGGGACGATTCAAACCTATTTCAACAGCTTCACCATCAAAAAAAAAACAACCTCGCGATGCAAGCGCCTTGTTCGCGAGGATCGCATGCACTTTCGATGCGTGGTCGTTTTGCGCTCCGTCAATTGCTGATTGACAGAAAACCTGAAAGAAAGAAAACTGCCTGTGTGAACTTTGATCTGAACTGCCCCCAAATAGAAAAGAAAACTGCCAGGATACAACAATACACAATACTAACCTTCTATTACACTTCTTGATTTATTGTAATAAATCAACAATAGTCGTAGCGTCGTAGATGTCAGAACCAGGATCAGCCAACAAAATATGAATCTTGACATCGGTCCAAGTTTCTGCTGTCACCACATTGAGGACAGCAAAATAGGTGAAACCTGGGATTTGCGCCATGCAGAGGACCAGGTTTCAATGTCAAAACATGATAGATTATGTGGATTCCAATCAAAATAGTTCAACTAGTTCAACAAACAAAAGTAACAAAACTATTCCAAGAAACTCATGTAGTAGTTCAAAGAATTAAAAAAAAGATAACAAATCCAGGAAACTCATCTATTAGTTCAAAACATTAAAAGATAACTTTAAACGAATCCAAGAAACTGATGTAGAAGAGGTAGACCACAACCCAAACCAGAGAGACTTCTTTCAGAGGTGCGATGACATTCTCCCAACTCACCCCACCAGAAATACTCATGAAGAGGCTCAACATCGTCACGGGCAGCCCGGCGAAATACTCCTCACTGGCCTGACCGAGGAGAAAACCCCCTGGTTTTAATGGAGAAAATGTGGAAAAAAAAACACCATGTAGATGTAGATGATGTAGGCTGTAGATGACTGTAGATCACTGTCCTAATCTGGTTTTGTGTATTGAGTGCATTGTTTTGTTCATCCGCCTGAGGCTAGTTTGAAATAGATTCAAACAAGTGAACATCATCGCCATGTCACTGCAAACCACCGTGTTGGTTTGAAATTTGAAATTTGTGACATCGCAGCAGATAAATAAATGGGTGCTCAATGTTCCGGCAAATATGCAATTTCCCACCACGGTGACGACGGGTTGTAAACAACGATTCGGCTGGCAACGCCCCTGATCTCTCTACAAAACAAGTGAAGGAACCTGTGCAGTAAATGCAAAATTCTTACCCTCCGGCACTCACACATGGCAATGGAAAATCCCGCAAATAAATGTATACTGAATTTATATATCTGATTGGTGGTTTTAAGCCCCTTCAAACTGGTTTCACCACCAATCAGTTGTAGCCCTATGTTGCTCGCTCCGCCTCATGTATGGATTAACTGTCCACCCCCTTCAAATGACTTGCGTCAAAATGGTGTATGCATACCCCAAATGTTGGCAGAAAATATCAGCATTTACTGAGTTTTATGTAAAACATCAATGGGGATGATGGTGATAATCCATGATAAACCATGAAAAGCCATGATAACTTGGGGATAGCCTATGTTCAAAGAAAACCTAGCCAAGAGTGGGAAATTCTTCGGCTGCACCTTCTCAAAAAGCACATCGTATTTCACATCCGGATCTGTAAGGTGATCGTTCACCGCTTGGGTAAAGAGCACTGCAAACACCTGGGAAAAGCGACTTGGAAACCCGCTTGGAAACTCCTTCAGTTGGAAAAAACACAGCATGCTTAGAGGTAACAAAGGATTTCTAGTGGAGCTTACGGATCAATATTGGTTTTTATGCAACAAAAACCTGGTCCTCTTCGACGTGTCCCCCGTGTAAAAGCGGGAGCAACTTCTCCAAAAAGTCACCCGTTAAAACTCATGGGAACAACTTGGCTGGTGATTGCAAATCACGGATGCCCGAAACGTCTTACTCCAGTTCCTTAATTTTATAGAGGTAAAACACAATTTTGGAATGCCAGCTAAAATGTGAGAATATATGTCAGATAGAATGTGTCAGGCGGAATGCCAGGTAAAATGTCCGATTGAATGTCAGATAGTCTGTCAAAATATGTGTCGGATAAGATGTCAGGTAGAATGTAAGAATATGTAAGGATAAATGCCACTTGTGGGGATCACACGGAGTAAAGTAATTTGTCAACTAAAATTTTGATATTTGAGGACATTATGTTTGAAAACCGCAATGCCATCTATTATTTTGACCCTCCACCTCAGCTTCAAACATCCCCTTCACTTTCTTCTCTCACACCCCAAAAAGGAAACAAGGAAAACATCCCAACATCCCACCATCCTCAAGATTAAGTGACATAGATGATGAGCACCAGTAGCATCAAGGCCCAAAACAATGACTTCAAGGTGTGCAGAATCGAGGAGATCAGCAGTCGAAAGGCCATGACAAAGCGAAAGATCCGCGCCAGGCGCACGGCCTTCACGAGCCGCGTGATGCGGATGATCCGAAAGGCCTTGAGATTCGAAAAACCCGACCAGCTTCCACCCGTAGACTCCTGGCACGACGTTTAACGGAGATTGATAAATATAAAATGTATATTTATTCATTCATTTATTTACTTATGATTATGAAATTATGTATTTATGTATGCATTTATGCATTCATGCATTTATAAATTTACATATTTACTTATTTCATCTTATTTCTATATGTATTTATGATTATTTATGTATGTATTTATGTATCTAGTTATTTGTTTGTTTGTTCATCTATCTCCGTGTTTATTTAAGAGTTCATTTATGTATTTATGTAATTATTCATATGTGTGTGTTTTTAATTTATCAGTTTATTAACGGTATGTAAATAGTTTTTAATTGCGACAAACGGATATATTTATATATATAAGGATATAAATGGATATATATATATATGTGTGAGGATATAAATGGATATATATATAGATAGAGAGAGGGAGAGAGCGAGAGCGAGAGACACTTATATTAGCAACAAATGCGAAGAACACGATATGATTAGGGTTTGTCTCAAACTGGGAGTGCCCCAAATTTACTGCCACTTCAACATGACTTTAACGGATTTTAGGTGTCAGCTTTCGATTAAGACAAAACATTACAAGGATGGTCCCAGAGGTACAGTAATAGAAAGAACCAAACGAAGTGCATCGGAGATTTTGCAGGGGGCGATCTGAATTTGCAGATAATCTCGCAAAATGAGGTTTGACGTTTTCTGGAGCTGGTCGTGGACTAGAAGGACCCCAGCGGCTGATGGGCGTCAGGAAATTCAACAGTTCATGCTCACATCCCCAGGTCCCTCAGTGCCGTACATCAGCAGCACGGCGCAAAATCGTTTGCCCAGAGGGTCTCCGAACTCGTTAGTGTTCGCCTATTTGGGAGGAACCCTTCACTCGGCGAACCCAACAACCAACCACTCAATTTACCACTTGATGTCACTTCTGCCGTTTTAAAATAAAGACCAGGTTTCTTTTTATTTTTGTTTTTCATTGTTCTTTCTTTTTTCTTTTTTCATTTTTTTTCTTTAATTTTTTTTCTCGATATTTCTTTCTTGATCGTTCTTTCTTTTCTTTTTTTATTTTTCTTTTTTTGTTCTTTATCTTTCTTTCTTTAGTTTTCTTATTTTATTGTTCTTTCTTTATCTTTCTTTTTTTATCTGTCTTTCCTTATCTTTCTTTCTTTATCTTTTTTAAAATATGTTTATGCATTTACCTTTTTTTGTACCTTTCTTTCTTTTTCGTTCGTTCTTTATCGTTCTTTCTTTATCTGTTTTTCTTTATCTATCTTTATGTATTTTTCTTTCTTTATCTTTCTTTCTTTATCTTAATCTACCCTTATCTATATTTATCTATCGTCTTCTTTCTGTCATTCTCTATCAGTATCTATCACTACCTATCACTATCTATTACTATCTATCTATCTAATATCTATCTATCTATCTGTCTTTCTTTCTATCTATCTATCTGTCTTTCTTTCTATCTATCTACCTATCTGTCTGTCTGTCTGCCTGTCTGCCTGGCTATCTATCTATCTATCTATCTACCTACCTATTATCTATCCATCTATCTATCCATCTATCTATCTATCTATTGTCTATCTATTTATCTATCTATCTGTCTATCTATCTATTTGTATCCGGTAAACATCATATATGTATATATATATATACGCATGTATAGATACATATGTGTGTGTGCGTATGTCCCATTCCCAATTTTTAGCGACCCCCGCAACAAACAACACCCCAAAATGAATAGATCAACTACAATCCACCAGAATTTCTAGGGGCTTGTTTATTGATAAGGTGACCCGATTACAATTTAACATGTATATATATATATATATTTACATAGGTATATACCTGTGTGTGTTGATATATATTTTTTTTATATTTATATTTATATATATACATATGTGTGTGTGTATTGATAGATAGATAGATAGATAGATAGATAGATAGATAGATAGATAGATAGATATATATATGTATGAGTGTATCTGTGCATGTCCGCATGCATTCTCTGTGTGTGTGTCTGTCTGTGTGTCTGTCTGTCGGTCTGCCTGCCTGCCTGCCTGCCTCTCTCTCTCTCTCTCTGTGCCTCGCGCTCTATTTTTTTTAATCTATTTATTCACTTCTTTATTCAGTTAGAGAGAGATAGATACACACACACACATATATATATATATATATCTGTCCATCTATCATATATATAAATATATATATATAGATAGATGGACAGATAGATGGATAGATAGACAGATAGATAGATAGATAGACAGATAGATAGATAGTTAGACAGACAGACAGATAGATAGATAGATAGATAGTTAGACAGATAGATAGACAGATAGATAGATAGAGAGATAGAGAGATAGAGAGGTAGAGAGAGATAGAGAGATAGAGAGATAGAGAGATAGAGAGATAGAGAGATAGAGAGATAGAGAGAGATAGAGAAAGATAGGGAGAGAGAGAGAGAGAGATAGAGATAGAGGTATAGATATATGTTTATAGAGAGAGGGAGAGAGGAAAAAAAATATTTATATTTGTGTACATATTTATATATATATATATAGTATGTATAGATGTGTATATACATATATTTATACATGGCAAAGCAAGGCTAGAAACAGTATAGTTGTCCCGGGTACACAAAATTATCCTTCAAGTCAATTCGCGAGCACATACTGGAATTGTTTGGATGTATTGCCCTGTGCTGTCTTGCCCGCAGATGTTATTTGAGCTTGCGGCATTCACGTAAATTTATAGTAAACTTGTTTTTTTGAGGGCCCGGATCCATAACGGAAAAGACCCGGTTACAATCGGATTGGCATATATGTATATATATATACATGTGTGCGTGTGATTATGTAATACTATATGTTTTTTATCTGAGTAGATAGGTAGCTATGAAAAATATTTGGGCCCCCAATGGCCCAGGCAGTCCGTCCACACCAAGGCATAGAGGACGTCCTCAGTCGCGTCCCACGCGAGGCCCAGGGCGGATAGCAATTAAATAGTTATAGTCTATTTATGATAGTATAATAGTAATTAAATAAGAACGTCAACTGATAGTATTAATGGGGTAATAGTCTATGAAAATAATAGTCAATATCTAAGAAAAATCCAACTGACCTTATCGATCTGACCTCTCTGTTCCCCATGTTGGTGGTTTCCAATGGTTTACCTTAATAATGTTGATATATCACAACCCGCTGGCTTCCCATAATGATGCATAAACTGGAATGCTCCTTGTGAGGAGCGACTTATCAATCAACTCCCCACCATTCCCCAAGTTTTGGATCTATGCTTCCAAATTTTGTATTTGGTAGGTCCACTAGTTCCATCAAATTTGGTGATTTTCCTTGATTTCTCCAATTTTTAAGCGTCAAATGGGGTCGGTTAGACTAAATGCCACAATTAGCTGGTGATTTGGGTACTCAATCTAACCGACCCCTACTTTTCCCGGGAAATGTGGGGGAAGTCATCGGGGCAGGCGTCGGTTAGACTAACTGGCCAAATCACAAGCTAAATGGGGCACTTAATCTAACCGACCCCGATTTCTGGACATGTTCCCAAGATCTGGGTAAGGTGAGGAATTTAGCGAATCCTCCACTTGTGTCCTATATACTTGTTTGGGCAACTTCACTTACTCATGGTTAAATAATTTGCTTTTGGCATCGACCGAGTAAAGCTCCACCATTTTGGAGGAGCTTGAGATATAAATGTCAGGAAAGCATGAAAATTTGCACTATTTATACTAGAACATGGTGTCGGGACAGGCCGGGTAATTAGGGACAAATTTAAATGTTCTCAGGCAAAAATAATCTGACTATCGTTTTACTATCACTATATTACTAAACTAATGTCACACAAATAGTCAATGATAGTAAAAATAGTCTACTTCGAGGACCCTGAGATGAATAATAGTTAGTATATTGGGCTTATCTTAATATAGGATAACCCAAAATACAATCAACTATCATCAATATTCCCATGAAAAAGACCATTGGGTGTTATACCGGCATAAACCATTTTCAGACACACCCAAATTGCAGTTAGGACCCTGGGATGAATATTAGTCTAGCATCACTGATACAATGATATCACAATAATAATACTATTCGAGAATTGTGAGTTAGGAGTAGAAATCAAAGTACAATAGCAATAATATCACAAACAATAATGCAATGATAGAAGTGTGACAAATATGATTCAACATCATGATGCAACAAATACTGGTAGCAAAGATAATACCATTTTGATGCAACATGTTTTTCCATATTTTTGGGTGGAGATGGGCAGCAAATTTTGGAACTTGCTTCACAAGAATGCACGAATCAATCCCCTCACTGCTCCACGAACCAACCAATGGGAAATCGACATCTGCAAATAGATAGATAGACAGATACGTGGATAGTATTATACGTACACATAGGTAGATAGACAGAAAGTTGGGTTGGTAGATAGAGAGAAAAATGGATCGATAGATAGGTAGGTTGGTTGGTAGATAAATATGTAGATAGCCCATTTCCATCCTGCAATTTTTTGGGGGATTATTCACCCAGTTGTTCATAGTTTTTGGATTTCCCTATGTCTATCTTTCACCTGGAAACGCACCAGTTCCAAGGTGCCACACCAACCTCCCAGAGGGAGAAAACCACGATGAACAAGTCCAGCCAGCCCCAGGTCCAGTCGTCGCCCCAAAACAAGCCGCAGCCATCGGCGCAGATGCGAATCCAGAGCTCGATGGTGAAAAGTGCCGTGTAGACATGCTGAACGATCCTGAAATTTCTTTGTTTCTTGGTTGAAGGTTGACCGTGACTGACTTGGAAGTCAGAACCAATCAGTTTTTTTGAGTAAAATCCGGGTCAAGAAAATTACAGTGAGAAATGAGACTGGTCTGCATCTTTGTAGGGGCTACTATATAGTGTCTTGGATCGATATCAAGATTGTTAACCGCTAGGCGCCAGCATGTGGACAACAAAACCATTTGGAAAAACACAACCTGCAAGCGCAAATGCTTCAGCGATCTATGAATTATACCACTTTTATCTGCAGCTACCCTTATCTTGAGAGGAATTCCTGCAACTAATTAAGTGTTTGAACTGAAGATCCGAGACACTTGGGCATATGGATATAGATGAGTTCATCCAAGACTTGCAAAACACACTAAACAGTTGCGCGTTTTCCAAAAAACAACGCCATGGCTCTGCACACCGGTGTGCGTAGCGTTCGGTTCGGAGACGGACAGTTGCAGTTCCACACCGATGAAGATGCTGTTGGTGACGACCACCAAGGTAAATGCCAGATCAAACGCAGAACGGGTCACCAGCCTTTTCCTCAGAGTCGGACTCACCATACGATTCATCGGCATGTTGCAGAGATGTTTTCATATTTGACCATCCGTAGACCATCCCAGAATAAGATCAATAAGTTGGAAACCTGGAACTGGAACTGGGGAATTTTCATCATCGACAAACCACTTTTTTTTTCATGGTGTTTCTATCTTTTTGGGGTTTGTTGTTTCGCCATTTGGGGAAATCCTTCTTATTCCCATCAGTCCAGTGACATCACGACATGTCATGATCAAATTCATCCAAATACATATGTGAATGGAGGTTTGCAGCTTGGAAAATCATCCGACTTCATGTTCTTTGTTCCAGCAGCCATGTTTGATTAGTAGGATTTGCTTCTTTTTGCTGGTTGCTATAGATCAAACGTGACAATGGAAAGTCGGTCCATGGCAAGCGCGGGGATTTTCGAGCGGCCGGCCACGTCTGAGGACACCGGCGGCTAAGTCACCATTGTTCCCATTATATCATATCCCCTATGTATATAACTATATATATATATATATATCATCCAATCCAGCCACTTTTTGATTACCCAAGGGCACATCTTTAGTTCCATGATTTTCCAAAAATCAACCTAACAATGGCTAGTTCTCCAGGATTTTCGGATGAAATTGATGAAATCCCCAGCTTTTTTCAACAGAGATGGATTGACCCATCTCTGGAAACGCCGAGCAACGCCCAGTTGGGTGGCTTCTCCTCCACGATGGCTGTGTTACCGGTGTCCATCGAGGCGGAACGGCGCATGGATGCGGCATGGGCCTCCCATTTTTTTCAATGGCTAGGAATCGATAGGAATAGATATCCATGGGAAAATGGCTAGATATCCATGGAAAATGGCTAGATATCAATGGCTAGGATGTTCAAGGCCAAAAAAAATTGGAAGATATCCATGGGAAAATGGATGGAGAATGTGGATTTTCTAGCTCTCTCTGATGAGAAAAAAGTTGTCGCCTGGAAAACCGACGAATTTTCATGTGTTTGCCCAATCAAGAATCGAACAAGGAAAATTATGGAAGACAGGATCGCCCTAATAGCTAAGGGATAAAATGCACTACTGTATATAAAATGTAGGATAACCCATGGGGTTTACTTGTTGTGCCATTCGAAAACCAAGGAACTTCAAGAAAATGTGACAGAACAGGAAAGCCTCGGCATCATGACTTCCCCGCCTTCTTTTTCTTTGTCAAGTCAGTCTGGGAAAATGTCTTAAACAACTGAGGTGTGAAACTGGGGCGCTTCTTCTTCGCCTTGGGGAGCCAGACAGAAACCTATCAGCGCTATGAAATGCTATAAATGGCTGATGTGGGCTCACGAGGGTCTACGAAGTTTCTTTGACCCCTCCCTAATTTTCATCCATTTTCCAGGTTGAAACATGTTGAAACATCTTGAAACCATTCCGGACTGGCTTGAGGAACATGTTGAATCAACTCTAATTACATGTGTAAGCGGCTGTTTTACCACAGTTTTTGTCGCATGTTTTCCCAGAAATCCCACATTGCTTGGAGGATCATCCCACTCAGGTGGTTTCTACCTCACCCTTACTAAACACTAAATTTTGGATGATCCCACAATAACAGTGAGCCTTACTAACCACGAACATCGGGGATGATCCCTGCCAAGTCGCCCGCGCTTCGATCGCCAAGGCCCGCTCGCTCTTGGCACTCGAGCGACGGCTGCTGTGCTCAGCCTTCGACTCTGGTGCCGCGGGCTGCGCAGGGGGCTCCTCCTTCGGGGGCTCTTTGGGAAGATCCGCCGGGAGCTCCTGGCGCTCCTGGCCATAGCTTAGGGGATGTCTTTGAAGCCTAACATCCCCTAAAAAATTTGGATTTTGGATGGGTTGACGTTACCAAAAATGGGATTGGGGGCAGGGATTTGGAGATGAGCAACAATGGTTGTTTTAAAGGTGTGGAGGAAACCAAGGATTTCACTGCTTAGGCATCAAATGTAGGGGTTCCTGTCAATTATACCGACGGAAATGGTGATGTTTTGTCGGGGAAATGGCAGCAATAGCATGGGAATGATCATCATGGTTGGTTCACATCCAATCTTGTACTTTCCTGAGTTTGTTCGTTGCCATAATCCGCAGCCTCCTTGTTTCATGTTCTGTGCCCAAAAAATTGTCATTATTACCCATCAAATCACTTTGTTCATATGAGGATTTGTCTGAAATATGATTTATCATCAGTTTCCACCTAGAAATAGCCATTTGGGGTAGGCCCAGCTTGGGACAAACCCGAAACTTCGGATCTGATACAGTATTGCCCGGTTCACAATCCTGCTTGGCAAGTCCCTTAAGTGAGGTTATCCCATTCATAGCTGGGCTACACCTATGAGTAATGTCAACCCCATTTTTCCACCTAGGCTTTGAATAATTGGGGGAGACCAATTTTTGCAGAGCACATTATCACTTTTTTGCTGGTGCGCCTCCAAAATTCATCAACCACATAGATAAGCCATGGAGTCAGCTAGGTCAGTTGGATGGTTGATACCTTGGTGAAATATTTCCATAACTGGACATCAAATACTCTATATATCTATACATGTACGTACGTACGTACGTACGTACGTACGTACGGGTAGGTAGGTAGGTAGGTAGGTAGGTAGGTAGGTAGGTAGGTAGGTAGGTAGGTATACTATATACGTATACTATATATGTATACTATATATATACTATATGTATACTATAAAGGTATACTATATATGTATACTATAAACTTATACTATATATGTATACTATATGTGTATACTATATATGTATAATATATATGTATACTGTAAATATATACTATAAACGTATACTTTAAATGTATACTATATATATCTATATATGTATACTATATATGTATACTATATATGTCTACTATATATGTATACTATATATATATACTATATTACTATATATGTATACCATAAAGGTATACTATATATGTATACTATATATATACACACACTTTGCACATTTTTCCTTCACCTGTACTAACCTGACTCCAATGGCCCAGGACGTCATCCGGTCCTTGCTTTCCCTCAGTTCACGTGGCATGCCCAGTCCCCGACTCGTAGCTGGTGAAGCCGACGGGCGTCGGCTGCCCAGTATGCGCGAGGACGTGCCCGAAGGAAGGGTGTCCTGGTGGTGAAATGGTGGCTGAAATGGTCGCTGAAAAATGGGTGAATAGGTGTCAACAAAAAAAAAAAACATGAACTCCATTTTTGTCATGGCGATTTTGGTTTTTAGCCTTTCAGACAAACCCAAAGGTTGAACATGTCGATTTTGGGTGATGTTGGTGTTGGTGAAATGTGTAGATGGCTCTTGCTTGAATTCCGCCCTTTGTTTTTGCTTCACTTTCCACCCGCGGTTGAAAATTTCATTTTTTGCTTGAATTTCCCCCGACAAAGGCGGGTTCACTGACATCATGGCCGGCTGGAAAGCACGGTGATTTCCTATTGCTATGTGGCTAGAGTGGCGATCAGTTCACCCTGGAACCCTGCTGTTCACCCCATAGCTGGGATTTATGGATGTTCATCCACCCCAAAATATGGTATTGCATAGGTTGCAAATGGTTTTCATCCATCTCCATGTTAGAGTTCCGGAGGGAATGATCCAAAATAATCCAAAGTGCGCTTCACTATTCACTATGTTCCCCCTTCGCACGCGACTAACGTGCTGCAAAAATGGATGGCCATTAATCCACTGACAGAAAGAGACCTGGCCAAGGAGCAGATTTCCATAATCGAATTTCGAAGAACGATTCTGATTTCCTCTAAGCCATGGTCCACAACCTGGTGAACCCCTGGTTTTCACAAAATAGCTAAATGGATGTTCATCCCCAAAAATCATAGTTTTTAAGTTCTTGAAATGGTTTGAAATCATCCTCAAATAACAAAAAATTACCTAACGCTGTGTTTTTTTAAGGGGGGCCTGATGTCCCGTGCGGCACCTTCGATTTGGCCTTGATCCCGCCATTCAACAGGATAAGCTCCAACAATTTACCTGGCGGAGCCCGGAGACCCCGAAGCACAGTTCAGGTTAACCTTTTCAAACGGGGGATGATCAACTGCTTGGGCTTTGTGGGGTTATATACTGTTAATATTTACCCTCCAGGACTCTAACATCACTATGGAAAATCGCCATTGCAAATAGGTATATAGATCATCTATAAATGGGCCATCTTCCATAGCTATCTTTAGTTACCAGAGGGTATAAACGAACTACCTGGTGCATCGATCCGTTCGAATGTCCGCATACTAAACTGACAAATCTCAATCCGGCGTTGACATCAAGTGGTTCCTTCATGGGAGGCCAACTAGCATGTACCAACCAAAAAGCGTCTTGACCTTGGGGTTTGCTTCACCCAACATGGAATGACTTCGAACCTCATGTTCCCCAGAAAAAAAAAACCTTGTCATAAAATGTTGGATATTCGTAGCATTTCTGCACAAGCCCATATCATATTGTTGATATCCCGGTATCTCTCCATAAAATCCATGGATTTAATATCCTTCATGTTGCGAATCTCCGAAAAATGTATACACCTAGATATGCTATTGGCGTCATACTATTGCTGTTGTTTTTAAGCCATGTATGGCTGGGAATTACCACAACAGCAAGGCAAAAAAAAAAAACATGTCCAAGCGGAGCATCAAATGGACCGGCCAAGGCACATTGATGATCAATCTTCAGCGCCAAATCCTTGTGTTTGGCTTCAATCATGGCGCATAGCTCTCCATCCCTTCCTGGGGCATCTCGGGGAAACATGGCAGGAATGAGGCTTTAAGATGGTTTAACCATGTTTAACCATCAAAGATACAAGGTGCTGCACCAGTTCTTTGGCTAAGGCTGGTCTATAACTCTATGACTCATATTTCACTGGGGTTCATGGCGAACATATCTATAATTAATGGGGTCCATAAATCAACTTACAACTAATGGAACCATCCTGAAAAACGGATATTAATGGCCACTAACATAGTAAACAAGATGATCGCAATGCTTGGGAACACAATATGACTCGGTCCAATACTTGCTAAACTTCTAAACTAGGGTTTTGATTTGGGGTAATTAAGATTGGGGGGACGGGTACAATTATAATCAATTATATACTTGGATATATGTGGTTTCTCATCCAAATTGGGGAAAAATCAGCGAAACCAAGCAGCAGGACAGAAACTCCAGAACATGTTAGAAAGATGATGCCAGGACGTTCATATTCTTTGCACAACAATCGCCAGAGATCAGAGGGCCCCTGTCTGTTGCCAGAAAAAAGGTGTTGAACTGTTTTGAAGCTATACCTTGTCCCACTAAAATGGAGGCCACTCGCTGTACCCCCACATGCATCACGACCGTCATCCACTTCATTCATCACACCTCCGTTATGCGTTTCTATATTATATCTATGTGCGTATACATATGCGCATAGTATAACAAATATACATTGTATTGAATATACATTGACATACACACATATGTGCAGTGTTTGTACTACATATTGTGTTATACTGTGAACATGTATAAATATATATATAATACAATTATATATATATTGACGGACTGAAACTTAGAATGCGCGCCAGGTTTCCAAAAATCCCTTTTTCGTAAACTTAGAATGCGGCGCAGCCCCGGGCGGCGACCAGACAGTTAGAATGCTGACCCAAAATGTTTAGATTGAGATAGATAAAGATATACTGAAATGACGGATGGGGCATCATGGAGCATTCTAACTGTCTGTAAACTACTCTCAGGAAAGGAGCGTAGCATTCGAAGTTTCAGTCCGTCGGTGTGTGTATATATATTGTACATATATTAAAAAAGATAAATATATAGATACGTAGCTAAAAAAAACGTGGCCTCAGGGAACCTCATTGGGTGCAAGGTACATGGTCCGGCACTAGCATATTCTAGCATGGATGTGTGGGTTTGCATCATGTTTTCAAAAAAACTTTCTATATACATACCAAGTATGTATGTTTCCAGAAAAACACCAGGGAACCTTGAGGGAACACATGAGTTGTGGGGTACAATTGTCTGCGCAACCAAATATATATATATATTTCCCAACAATCAATGTTTTGAAGAAACTCATGGGTTTTAGGCATTCCTACCTCCCACATTCTAACTGCTTGTAAACCTATATATATTCGATGTTGGTAAAATGCAATTTTCCAGTTTTGCCGTTTAAAAAAAATATATAAACATCTTTTCCAATCAGTGACAGTTACAGGCATTCCAGCTAGTGGCCCATCTAGGAGATAAAACAAAGGTATTTATCAATGATGGGGATCCTTTACTAAAGCCACATTCTAACTGTCTGTTCAACACCATTAGTGGCTGGATGTGTCCTCTTTTCCCAGAAGCCTATCTACCTCAGGTATGTGTCCAAAATCGCAATTTTGTACGGGAAACTCACTTTTGTCAAGGTTATCGAATGGGGAAAGCGAGTAAAAGTACCCAGACCTGCAAAATGCACAAAAAAAAGAGATATTCTCAAACAGGTACGTTCATATACCCAGAACCTCCAAATACCCTGAAAAGTTGCTAAAACTATGAAAATTATGTGGTAAACTACCTTTTTTATGGTGACTTGGAGGGTCTAGGATATATATATATATATGTGTGTGTGTTTCTGCCTGGAAAAAACATATGTCCTTGGAGGCATTCTAACTGTTGATTGCCGAATAGCTTCATCCTAGGTGCGGGGGGGGCATTCTAGGTTCTGAAATGCTGGTAAAATGCAATTTTCCAGTTTTGCCGTTTAAAAAAATATATATAAACATCTTTTCCAATCAGTGACAGTTACAGGCATTCCAGCTAGTGGCCTATCTAGGAGATAAAACAAAGGTATTTATCAATGATGGGGATCCTTTACTAAAGCCACATTCTAACTGTCTGTTCAACACCATTAGTGGCTGGGTGTGTCCTCTTTTCCCAGAAGCCTATCTACCTCAGGTATGTGTCCAAAATCGCAATTTTGTACGGGAAACTCACTTTTGTCAAGGTTATCGAATGGGGAAAGCGAGTAAAAGTACCCAGACCTGCAAAATGCACAAAAAAAAAGAGATATTCTCAAACAGGTACATTCATATACCCAGAACCTCCAAATACCCTGAAAAGTTGCTAAAACTATGAAAATTATGTGGTAAACTACCTTTTTTATGGTGACTTGGAGGGTCTAGGATATATATGTGTTTCTGCCTGGAAAAAACATATGTCCTTGGAGGCATTCTAACTGTTGATTGCCGAATAGCTTCATCCTAGGTGGGGGGGGTGGCATTCTAGGTTCTGAAATGCTGGTAAAATGCAATTTTCCAGTTTTGCCGTTTAAAAAAAAATATATAAACATCTTTTCCAATCAGTGACAGTTACAGGCATTCCAGCTAGTGGCCCATCTAGGAGATAAAACAAAGGTATTTATCAATGATGGGGATCCTTTACTAAAGCCACATTCTAACTGTCTGTTCAACACCATTAGTGGCTGGGTGTGTCCTCTTTTCCCAGAAGCCTATCTACCTCAGGTATGTGTCCAAAATCGCAATTTTGTACGGGAAACTCACTTTTGTCAAGGTTATCGAATGGGGAAAGCGAGTAAAAGTACCCAGACCTGCAAAATGCAAAAAAAAAAAAGATATTCTCAAACAGGTACATTCATATACCCAGAACCTCCAAATACCCTGAAAAGTTGCTAAAACTATGAAAATTATGTGGTAAACTACCTTTTTTATGGTGACTTGGAGGGTTTAGGATATATATGTGTTTCTGCCTGGAAAAAACATATGTCCTTGGAGGCATTCTAACTGTTGATTGCCGAATAGCTTCATCCTATGTGGGGGGGGGGCATTCTAGGTTCTGAAATGCTGGTAAAATGCAATTTTCCAGTTTTGCCGTTTAAAAAAAAAAATATAAACATCTTTTCCAATCAGTGACAGTTACAGGCATTCCAGCTAGTGGCCCATCTAGGAGATAAAACAAAGGTATTTATCAATGATGGGGATCCTCTACTAAAGCCACATTCTAACTGTCTGTTCAACACCATTAGTGGCTGGGTGTGTCCTCTTTTCCCAGAAGCCTATCTACCTCAGGTATGTGTCCAAAATCGCAATTTTGTACGGGAAACTCACTTTTGTCAAGGTTATCGAATGGGGAAAGCGAGTAAAAGTACCCAGACCTGCAAAATGCACAAAAAATAATGTGATATTCTCAAACAGGTACATTCATATACCCAGAATCAGAACCTCCAAATACCATGAAAAAATTCTACAACTATGAAAATTATGTGGTAAACTACCTTTTTTATGGTGACTTGGAGGGTCTAGGATATATCATATGGGGGAGGCATTCAAAGTTCTGAAATGCTGGTAAAATGCAATTTTCCAGTTTGCCGTTTAAAGAAAACATATAAACATCTTTTCCAATCAGTGACAGTTACAGGCATTCCAGCTAGCGGCCCATCAGGGAGATAAAACAAAGGTATTTATCAATGATGGGGATCCTTTACTAAAGCCGCATTCTAACTGTCTGTTCAACACCATTATTGGCTGGGTGTGTCCTCTTTTCCCAGAAGCCTATCTACCTCAGGTATGTGTCCAAAATCGCAATTTTTGTACCCGAAACTCACTTTTGTCAAGGTTATCGAAAGGGGAAAGCGAGTAAAAGTACCCAGACCTGCAAAGTGCACAAAAAATAACGTGATATTCTCAAACAGGTACATTCATATACCCAGAACCTCCAAATACCCTGAAAAATTGCTAAAACTATGAAAATTATGTGGTAAACTACCTTTTTTATGGTGACTTGGAGGGTCTAGGATATATATGTGTTTCTGCCTGGAAAAAACATATGTCCTTGGAGGCATTCTAACTGTTGATTGCCGAATAGCTTCATCCTAGGTGGGGGGGGGGGCATTCTAGGTTCTGAAATGCTGGTAAAATGCAATTTTCCAGTTTTGCCGTTTAAAAAAAATATATAAACATCTTTTCCAATCAGTGACAGTTACAGGCATTCCAGCTAGTGGCCCATCTAGGAAATAAAACAAAGGTATTTATCAATGATGGGGATCCTTTACTAAAGCCACATTCTAACTGTCTGTTCAACACCATTAGTGGCTGGGTGTGTCCTCTTTTCCCAGAAGCCTATCTACCTCAGGTATGTGTCCAAAATCGCAATTTTGTACGGGAAACTCACTTTTGTCAAGGTTATCGAATGGGGAAAGCGAGTAAAAGTACCCAGACCTGCAAAATGCACAAAAAAAAAAGAGATATTCTCAAACAGGTACATTCATATACCCAGAACCTCCAAATACCCTGAAAAGTTGCTAAAACTATGAAAATTATGTGGTAAACTACCTTTTTTATGGTGACTTGGAGGGTCTAGGATATATATGTATTTCTGCCTGGAAAAAACATATGTCCTTGGAGGCATTCTAACTGTTGATTGCCGAATAGCTTCATCCTAGGTGGGGGGACGCATTCTAAGTTCCGAAATGCTGGTAAAATGCAATTTTTCAGTTTTGCACGTGTGGACTGAAATTTCCAAATGCGCATTCTAAGTTTCAGTCCGTCGTTATATAATATATTATAAAAAATAAACGATATAAAATGTTATAATATAACATAAAATAAATTGATGTAATATAACATATTTAAAATTCAAATGTTTTAAAAAAACACAATCTGAATGAACTAAAATGAAATAAATATATAACTTTAAACAATACAATATACTATAGTGAAATAATGCAATAAATATATTATCATGTAATAAAGTATAATTTAAAAATATTGCCCTATAATATAATATAAAATGGTAGGTTTGAACAAAAAAGTGTATTCTATTAAAACACAATAAAATAGTTTATCATGTTAAAATGTAATCAAATGTACTATAGAAAGAAAAATGTATATATGAAACTGTATTAAATAATATATATATATTACATATTTGTATATATATAGTTACATATATACAGATACATGCCTTGAAGGGAGGTACTGTACCACGAGGACAAATTTCGAAGACTATATTCCCTTACTTCGGCCTCACAAGGTCCTTACACAATAAGGTAGCCTCCTACTAGAGTCTGAACACTGCTAATCTGAGATGCCCTGACAAAAGCTGTGTTGTAGTTCGTCATTGTGAATGTATATGCCCCAATTCAGAATACAACAAACCATATACAGTATCATAAACAAAATACTCATCTATCGTGAATTATTTCCTGAGGCATGCGCGCTTAGGAAAAAACATGCACTGTTCTCTTTTAGTCATCATTTCCCCTACAAATCCCAAAATGGCCATGACACCGGTCTACTCCACCTGACGCCCCAGCATGTCCGCCAACATCTCCAAGGCAGCCGCCCATGCAGATCCACCGCTCGCGTCGCGAGCGACCAAGCAGCTCATAGCGCTACTGTAACCTCAAAAAGGCCGGAGGAAAAAGAAAAGGCGGTCCACCAATGTGTTCTTGTTGCTTGGAAGGCTCGGAAGGCTTGGAATTCAACATGTTTGAAGTCTTACCAATCTTTGGTGTTGTAACGTGACTTTTCTGTTGCCCTCCGTCTTTGTCAGCAACCCTCCTACCAGGCAACCAAAGACGTCTTGCGCCAGCCGAGCGTGGAGAGATCGCATGGTCAGCAACTGTAGAGCCTTGGGCCACACCTCTGCCTTGGATAGCACTCAACATCAGTCAACAGTGTTGTTGGTGGTTACAATACAATCCATTTATAACCTCTTCCTCCCTAAATATTAATATGTAATTTTAAACTCGTCTCGTCCCCCAGAAACCATGGTTTAGTATGGGATTTCACGGAATTGACACGTATTTGGGACCATTGACGGTGTTTTAAATTAGGGAGTGGGATTCTGTGACAAGGAGCCATCTCTCCTAAAGGATCACCTCAATGGGGAGGTCCCAGAAAACCGGAGGCTTTCTGGGGTTTGTTCGGAAGCTACCCAAATCCAACGGTTGATCACTTTTCGCGAAAAGAAACTTCAATATTTGATACTATTTTTGTGAGTGCTGCATATTTAATTTTCAAACAACCCCATGCCAATGACCCATCTGGATTATTTGATTTGAAGAATCTGTGTTTTACATGTTTTTACCCTGATATTGACGTGTATACCTTTTTGTGGTTTTCCTGACTGAATGGCCAGAATTGTTACTATTTAATACCCAGTAAAATATGATAAAATATGTGCATATGATTGTACTATGATTGTGTACATATGTATCTAAGCCAATTCAACCCCCAACCGGCGCTTGCACATGCAGATCAACATGTTTAGACACGGATCCACACCGAAAATGACCCAACACAACACCATAAGGTACACAGCAGCTGATGGCCGTACAAAAGCTGACCACATCGGGCATCAAACGCAGCGTGGGCAAGGAAGAAAGCGTCGAAATGGCCATTTGCCAACGTGGGCCCTGCCGGTTGAGGTTGTTCAAGGTGGGTTGTTCAGGATGTAATGGTGGGCCCCGCAAACGATAGCAAAAGTTCACTTGTAACTTGGTTAAGTGTGGATTTCTGGGAGAAATAGCTGTAGTTCAGTGGTTCAGGTTTATAAATTGACTTATCACTGGCTGGGCCACATTAGACATACATGCCATAGATACCCTGATGTACATATATACACATATATGTATGTGTATGTTCGAGTACGTATACAAATGTTTATTGATAATGCAAAACGACATATATTTTATAATCATTAAAATAATAACATGGAATAAGAGTAATAATAAGAACGACATGTAAGCCATCACTTGAGGCCGGGGGTGGATGACGAAAGCTAGCGGGGTACGAGAAAGAAGGAAGGGAAGACGTATCTTCAGTGTCAGCAGGGAAATGTCGGTGGCTGCAAATCCAACCAAACCCCACCGTCCTATGGTAGTGTGAGAAACCCAGAGAGAGGATGCCTATCCAAATCTCTTTATTGACCACCTTGTTTTTGTTGCTGAGCAGCTGCGGCATGTTTCAGCGGGCACCAATGGGATGAAGATGACAGTGAGGATGCTGACCCTCTACCAGCCGGAAATCTCCCAGGGGGGATCGAACCTGATGCCGATGATGACGATGATGATGAGGATGGTGATGATGATGATGATGATGATGATGATGATGGTGATGATGATGATGATGATATCAAGGTTGATGACGATGACAATGACGCTCATGCTGACAACGACGATGACGGCCGAAAATGACAATGACGTTGACGATGACAATGGCGATGACGATGACAAAGGCGAAGACAATGACACTGACAATGACGATGATGATGATAATGATGATGATGGTGATGATGATTACGATGATGAAGAAGAAGATGACGATGATGATGATGGTGACATTGATGATGATGGTGATGATGATAATGATGGTGATGATGACGCTCATGATGATGAAGATGATGATGATGATGGTGATGGTTATGATAATGGTGATGATTATGATGATGATGATGGTGATGATTATGATAATGGTGATGATGATGATGATGGTGATGATGATGATGAAGCGGATGCGGCAGATGATCGGGATGATGATGAGGAGGAGGATGATAAGGATAAGGAGATGATGATGATGATGATGATGCTCATGATGATGATGATGATGATCCCGATGACGAGAACGATGCCAATGACGATGACGATGACGAAACCGATGACGATGACGATGACGATGATGACGATGATGACGATGATGCTGATGATGATGGTGGTGGGGTTGGGGGGGGCCCTTTCGCATGAAAAATAACGTGATGTCCTTGAGCAGCCCCCGGGATACTTGCTAAAGGAAGAAGACTCCAGCTAGCTGACGTTAGCTTTCGTGACAAACAAAAAATGGTTAAAAAAAACAAAAACATATAACAACATGTTAAAACAACAACACAATGATGAAAACAAACAAAATTGATTACTTTTTACAGATGTGGAATCATTCTTATATGTGCAACGCCAAACATGCAATGTGTTTATTTACCGTGTATTGGCACGCGTGTGATCTGCATTCACATGTGTAAGTAATCCAAATGCACCTCTGAATAAGTGGCTGGGTAATATAATTTATATATATATATAAATATATCTATCTATGTTCATGCAATTTCATGAAAGCCAAAAATGGTGCTTGACAACCACGATCGGAGTTTCAGAAATAAAACCCGCTAGTAAAACAACGATACTTGTGACATGACATTGACTAGTAACTATTTCCATGGCCAGACAACTACCCGCAACATGTCATGTATGGACAGAATTAGGATCCTAGGATCATAATCCTGTGGCAAGTGGAGGGTGTTCATGATGTCAGGGAAATTCATGTGGACATATGGAGGTCTCCTACAATGGGGGCACCCCACATCCTTCAAGTCATGAATGATCATGACTTAGTATTGAACCCCATGGTGACTTGGGCATCCCCCATTTTAAGAAACCCTCATATTATATGACTCTTGGAACCCAACAACTCTGATCATCTGAGGAAAGCAGCGCAGTGTGGCCCTGGCGAGCCTTGTATGCACCCAACGCTGAATTGAGAGCCACCAAGTCTGGGTGCATCCTCTGCGGCGCAGCCACATGAGATGAAAAACGGTGGCAGATTTGGTGAGCGAAACAGTTCCCCCTCCCAAAAAACAACGCGGCAATTTTTTTTTGGTGTGCCTGGAGTTCCGTTGTTATTTTCAGGATGGCGACCCAAAGGCTCCGAAAACCCCATTCCAAAACATGCCGACTAATGACTAATGCCCCAAGTATGACCCCAACATGATAAAATTAAGCAGAGTGCACCAGCTTTCCGAGTCCTTTGGGCGGAGAGCCGTTCCAGCAACATTATGGTGAGACGCCAAAAACCTGGTGCACACCGAGTCACATCCATAATTGATGATTCTGCTGGTTCATCCAAAAAAATGCGGTAACAATCCACAGAATGGTGGTAAAACAAAATGATACGTTTAGACCGTTTAGATATTTTTAGCCCATAAGACAAATTAATTATTTACACAATAGGCGTGTGTATGTACAATATATATATATAAATAGATGTCTAATGATGTTTATTTACATTTTTTGTTTCTGTATTTAAATTCAAATGTGCAACCCGTAAAAAAACAACAGGGCATGCCTTAGATTTCTCAAAACCAGATAGTGCCCGGCATGCGCCGGGGTGAAAATTTTGAAAATAGGAAATGAGTATAGACTGTAGTGACATCGATGGCATAAAGGATTGTTTTTGCGATGCAAAAGCAATGAAATGTTGAAGATGTGAGGTGCATCAACGAATGAACAAATATGAGCACATGATGGTTGTTAAAATGACACTGACATGAGCGAATTCATGCACAGCTCACTGATTGAGACAATGAATCAAAATTCTAACGAATCAATGATTCAGTCTGTGGACCAATGAACCAACAAATCCACCAACCAACAAATCAATGAATCAGTGAATCACAGAATCAAGGAACCAATGAGTCAATGATTCGAAGACTCAATGGACCAATGAATCATCAAATAATCAATGAATCCGTGCACCAATGAAGCAATGAATCATTGAATCGATCAAGCAATGTATCAAGGAACAGTGAGCCAACGAATCAACGAACCAATGAGCCAAGTGTTCAAGGATTCAGTGAGTCAATGAATCAATGAGTTAGGGATAGGCAGCGAATCAACGAACAGTGAAGCAATGAATCAATGGTTCAGCGATTTAATGAGTCAAGGAATCAAGGAACTACCTAGCGAACCAACGAATCACAATTAATCAATGAATCATTGAATCAGTGAATCAACGAATCAATGAATGAGTAAATGATTGAAACAATGAATCATTGAATCAATGAACCAAACAACCAGTGAATCAATGAATTTTGCGCAAGCTCTTCCTCGAAAAGTGCTCGGCATGCCTCAATTTTTGAGGAATTTGAAATGCAAACCGAGCTCTTGCTACAGTCTAGTCTGGTGCACATTTTGCCAACCAGATCTTCCAAAAGTGCTCCAAACGCCAGATTATCAAGTGATTGAAATGCAGTCGCGCACATTTTGCCAACTTCATCTTTTAAAAGTGCTCCGATCCCCTCCGCTTTTTGCTGTTTTGATGTGCAAACCGAGCTCTCGCCACAGTCTGGTACATATTTTGCCGACCTCATCTTCCAAAAGTGCTCACAACGCCTCAGTTTGTGTAACAATTAAAAATGCAAACCCCGCTCTCGCCACAGTCCTGTGCACGTTTTGTCAGGTTTGGAATGGCGGAAACCCAGGGCTTCGCGCCCGAGAGTGTTTACACCCGTGAGTTCACATGCTTCCCAGCGACTTCAAAATGTGTGGTTGACATGATGATGTGGTTGACATGATAGTGTGAATGACAAACGTGACATGTCCGCACCTCAAATGTTTTTCGATATCACAGGTGACCTGGATGGGACCGTTGTGCGTTCCCAGCTACGGGTTCTGCAGCGCATATGACATGTCACGATATAACTATGACTGTCGGAGAGAAGCAAGCAACAACATGTACTATTCTCTATATGTCATGTGCATTTTTATGGAATTATATATATATATATGCATTGCTTACACACAATTGTTTGCATAATTAAAAGCTTTGCATGTAAACAACAAACAACTGGAAATTTCCTATGCAACATATCATGATAATATGTTCAATAGGTGTAGAGTGGTATGCATATACACATATATATATATAATATCATGTATAATATCAGGTTATATATGTTTGATGTCAGCAGCAGCAGACTGCTCCATTTTCCCACAACCGCAGCGGTAGTGGAAACAGCTTCAGGTTTTCAAAGCATTAGTTAACAGCTTCAGAATTCATTGGCATGCAGTGTCACATAGTGTCACTGCGGATCACTCATGTGGACCCACATCAGTGATACCCCGGTGGGCTCTAGCCTCCCAGAGGCAACTTTTTAAATCCCATTCCCGTCGACAGAGGATACCCCACGGAGGTCCTAGCCAGCAGGAATGTGTACTGCACAGACGACGACAGGAACACCTGTGGTCCGGAACACGAGCTCTCACCAGGCAGCCAACCTGCATGAGCATCAGCGCCTGGTAGACAACCAGCCAGCGGTGAAAAGTAGCAGCACTCCGCCAACCAGGCCGGTGATAAGGCTGCGACGTGCACCTGCTCAGACAGAGGAGGAAGAAGGTGGCAACAGCCACACCTCTCACCACATTGGCACCAACGGAAAAGCCGACAGCTTTCATGGAAGTCCACCATAGCACACGAAACAAAGCGCAGGCCCTCGACTCCTGGCGCCTGACAGGCCCAAACCAGAGAGGGTGGGCTGGGACAAAATTCAGATCCAGGCTTTCCTGAGTTGGAGACTCCAACTAGGCCAGTCAGGCCATTTTGGCTTGAGATCCAAAATGTCCGGAAGGCAGTTCAGAGTCTGTCGCGTCTGTGACCCAAACATAGTTTCATCACCGACCCTGCTTACCTTGAATGAACTAGATCTCTCTCTCCATCGCTCTCTCCATCACTATCCCGAAGGTTCAGCTAAGGCTGAGGGCGAGCTGATCAATATTTATTTATTTAGATATATTATACATAATATTGACATATTATGATATGAGATGTTTTTATTTATATATATATATATTATATTGACATATTATGTGAGATTTGTTGAGTTTTTCAGATTTCATTGACAACTTATCTTTGAAGCCCCTAATTGGCAGCGTCTATGTTAATCTTGAGGTTTCCTACAATGGTGGTACCATCATCCAAATTGGACCATTTTTTAAATTGAAAGTCATGATGACTAGGGATTCCCCATCTTAAGAAACCAACATTGGAGGGTATATCCACAAGATTCCATCATGATCGCGCACCTTGCTGCCCAGGCACCACCTTTGGCGCAGGCGCTAATCACGCCGCTGTAGCAGATTACGTCGGGCTGCAACTCCGCAGCTTCCAAGGCCTGCAAAAGGATGCAGTTACCCTTGGCTAAAGATAGAAAAAATGCAACAAATGTGGAAAACCCATGGTGAAATGGGGAATTAACTCGTTTTACCCTGATGTCAACTGGAGATATGGAAAAAAACATGTGCTCTTCGGGACATGATCTGAGAAACCGTTGGTTTTCCGGCATGTTGTTTACTGCATAGCACCCATCAAACATCTGGTTGATTTAAATATCGACATGGTGAATCAACAGCAGAAATATGATGAACTTCACCAAAAACATGTGACTGTCTATGGATTGATTTAATTGGGGACCATTTGAACGCCCAAGTAGACACGCGGTGTGTCCTGTCCAATTTCAATCAATTCCTGGGACTGGATGGCACACGCTGAACCATTGTCTTTTGTTTTTATTATTACTGGAGTTATTTGCCATAAAACTGAAAATTTGAATGTTTTGTTTGATGTTGGTTTGCGCTGTGTTGATGATTCACAACTTAGCTGCTTTTGCCTATCCTCAATTGTTTCCCTTGGGTTCTTGCATAACACTATGCAAGAAAATGGAATGTACAGTTTATTAAATTTCACGAGCTCCTGGGATTTGTGATTTTTAGGGAATATTGGATATCAAGGTCAAGATGCAGTATTTGGTGCAGTGTACGCGCACAAGGGTGGCACCAAAAAACTTAAGCGTCATGGTTTGCACGGGTTTGCACTGGATCAGCCTTCCATAGATGGAATTGGTCCAATTAATCGTTCAGAAAAAATGAAACGGTCGGAAACGGTCGGAAACAGTCGGAAACGGTCGGAAACAAAACTTGTCCAACCGGCATTTTTTGAAAAATAAGCATTTCCGCGCAACGCCGTTTTTTTTTGGCGTCCAAGGGGAAACGGTTGGAAACAGTCGGAGATCGCACCTTCGCTCGGCAAAAAAGACATGTTTTTGCACAATTTTCAAACATGTTTCATGAACATATGCTACAAAACAACTACTTTTTTGCCGAGCGAAGGTGCGATCTCCGACTGTTTCCAACCGTTTCCCCTTGGACACCTTTGGACCTTCAAAAAAAAAAACGGCGTTGCGCGGAAATGCTTATTTAAAAAAAAAAATCGGGTTGGACAAGTTTTGGCCTGATCATGTTTCCGACCGTTTCCGACTGTTTCCGACCGTTTCCGACCGTTTCATTTTTTCTGAACGATTAATTGGGCCAATTCCATCTATGGAAGGCTGATCCAGTGCAAACCCGTGCAAACCATGACGCTTAAGTTTTTTGGTGCCACCCTTGTGCGCGTACCCTGCACCAAATATTGCATCTTGACCTTGATATCCAATATTCCCTAAAAATCACAAAATCCCAGGAGCTCGTGAAATTTAATAGTACAGTTGGTTTACTTGGTGGTGCAGTTGGTGCGATGTGATACAAACCAACAAACAAGGTGGCACACAGTCAATTAATGTCTCCCTTCTGTAAATGCATGATAAAACTGAACAACACTGACATCCACGCAATAGCTTTGACAACGAATATTTATGATTTCAAACATAATCAAACTATGACTGTGACTGTGACTATACACGACAGTTAAACAGCTTATCTCGTCACATTAGGTGCAAGTGTTGGGGCTACAGGAAGAATTCCGCAGTAGATCGCTGGCTGCAGTGACGTGGCAAGAACTATGCTCTGGTGTCATCAAACATGGTTTGCCAGAAAATCCACCGGAAAAGTTCGATGGTCTTCCTAGAAACCTCCATGGCTCGATTGTGGATTTTCCAGCTTGGCATGTTTGATGACACCGGAAGTACATCCATTTATATCTTCTATCCATATCCCATAATGGTCTCTATTATAAACCACATATATATATATATAAAAACAGATGAAACCAGTGGGATGGCCATGGGGCACCCATCTTTACCGCCTCTAGCAGGGCCAGGGTGTTCTCCCATTCGCCCGCAGCTTCACAGGCAGAGATGGCGCTGTTGTAGCTGATCAAATCGGGCGCCGCCTCGAAGACTCCAGTGCCATGCGGTGCCCCAAAATGGGAGGGGCCCCCAGTGATCGCACAGGCCCAATACAGCTTCAAACAAGTTGAAGATAAAACTGGATTAACAACACAAAAAAAACAATTGCTGGTTACAACATCAGAAATAAATATATTCAAGAACTCTCGGAGGATTGTCATGGCCAGGTATTGACATACTCCGGGCTGGCCATGAAATACCACCAAGCTACCCTCCTCATCCAACATGGCAGGCTGGGGAATCCCTCAAAAATAAAAATTTTAATGGTAACATCATAGAAAATCAGGGGGAAAATCCTCTAGAAATTGAAGTTTTTTATAGGACCTTTCCATTGCCATCTTTGATTGCCGGAGGATGCCATGCTTCCTCCCCAACATAGCCAGGCCAGTGGCCGATCATCATGCCGTTCATGTCCATTATCAACATTCATAGTCATTCATGATTTTGAGCTGGGAGCTGCAACACAGCTCCCTCATGTTCCGTAAATCACAATTTCTGTTGATGGTTTGCCTCCCATCTTTGCTGGTGATTTCAATTCTGACCCCCCTTCAAAAGAAACATGCTGGATCCTCATCCCGACTAGCAGGGAGAAAAACATATGTGTTGTATACACCAGAGAAAATAGAATATGGCAATTTCAAAAACACACCACTAAAATGGGAATATCTTTGAAAAATCACATATATCTCATATGACATTATAGTATATATATATATGAGATATTAAATTATATTATGTTATATTAAATTATATTTTATTGTATTATATTATATTTGATTAAATTAGTTAAATTCAATTAAATTATATTAAATTATATGATATGATATTATGATATATTAAATTAAATTAAATTATATTATGTTATATTATGTAATATTATGTTATATTATATTATATTACGTTATGTTAAATTAAATTATATTATATTATATTATATCAAATTAATTAATATTTTATTATATTATTTCAAACTAAATTAAATTATATTTTATATTAAAGGATATTTTAAATTATGTTAAATTATATTATATTACATTTTATTGAATTATATTATATTAAATTAAATTATATATTATATTATAATATATTATATATTAACTTATATTAAATTATATTATATTATATTTTTATTTTTATTTTTTAAAAAACATATTAAGTTAAATTCAATTAAATTATATTATATTAAATTAAATTACATTATATTAAATTAAATTAAATTATATTATATTAAATTATGTTAAATTATATTAAATTATATTGTTTTATGTACATTTCATTATTACAGATGTCTGTGTGAACCTCCCAAGCCCCCACTGGTCACCTGGATCTGCGGCATCTCTGACAGCAGCACTGTAGCCAGCTGCCAGCAAGCCGCGCGTGCCAGGCAGCTGATGACCTTCGTGGTGATATGTAAAAATTACATAACTTGACCAACAGTCAACTAGTACTTGTTGGTCAAGTTGTGCAATTTTTTACGTGTATATATATATATATACATGTCAGCTATTATTAGCGATTGGTCAACTATTACTTGTTGGTGATATGAATGGGGTTCTATTAATAGTTACAAGTAATACGTAACCAACAACTATAATAGCTAAGTTGGTTTGCAACTATAGTAAAATAAAGAACGAGCAATAGAATAAACTCCCTCTGGTAATTTGTCACATAGCTACTGAAAATGGCACATTTAGTTCGTTGATTTACCGAACTTAAAGATTGTGATTTTCCATAGCTAACTGTTAGTTTACCAGTTTACCAGAGGGAAAATTAAAATTAATAGTTCTATAGCAAAATTGGTTTGTAACTCCAATTTCACTAGGGTCTATGATGCATATATCGAACTAGTTAATGAACTCATGGGGGTTGTAAACCAACTTATAATGGGTGTCACCACCCTGTGGGTAGATCATCGAACAAAATGGGAAACCCAATTCGTAGCTCCTTGGCTCCCCGTGCCTAGTAGGGAATATAAATACCACTAGCTCCGAACCGCTCCCTTCTAATCACTGGATTTTCGCACTTTCGCATTTAGTCCCAGCGTTTGGGTGTGTAGGAAATCAGAATTTCGTATTCCCAACACTTCTATACACTGCGATGCCAAAAAACTATTCGAGAGGGAATGTTCTGACTGCGTTTCTGATCAACTTGGCACGTTGCAAGAAAGGAACTTCAAGATCAGGTGGCCAGGCTGGAAATTCGGAATTCACTTTCGGATGATCCAGGACTCTGTTGAGCTTGCGGTTATGACCAGTAGATGTATTGAAATAGTTGAACAAGGTGGCTTGAACTTCATTAGGGTAGCACAGTTTGGGTCTCGTGGCAAATCCCTTTGCAGTGGCACTGGAGCCGAGTGCACTTAATGACTTGGCTTTGCTGGTAAGGCGTGATGGTATTACCTTGTGAGGTACAACTTTGTGTAACCAAGACAAACACTTGGCCCAAACCATCATTTGATCACCCAGAGTACGTGTACATGTATCGGCCAAGTTCTCAATATCTTCCAGGATATAGCATGGTGCCGTATGCTGATCCCGCTCCCTTTTGGTAAAAACGTTTCGAGGAACGATGGAGTTTGTCAAAATTCTGTAATCCATGTAGAGCTCTAGCATAGATATGTCAGATTGCAAAGGACAGTCAAGCTCAGGCCATTCCAAACGTCGCGCCCATTGCATGATCCGCCATAGAAATATAGGCCCCCATGGAAAAGCCAAAAACTGATGTCTGGTAAAAGAGATATCACTAGATTGCAACTGACAACTGACAGTAAGGTTTGGATGGTCAGGATTAAAGTGATTATCTCTGTGGCGTTCTTTCTGTTGCGTGGCTGAAGCTCTGATACATCTGTCGCTTGAGGCTGCAATAAACTGAAACAATTCCGCAACATCTGCACGTTGTTGGGCTACTTGGGCATGCATACCTTCAAGCCTTTTATATACGGATTTGTGCTCAACCATTATAACATTTTTGGCTTTCTTGTCAACCCAGTCGTTGGACCATGTCTTCCATCGCTCAACTGGATCAGTAACTCGATCCAGGCATGCATGTGCCTTGACTTTACAGATTGAGATTCTGCGATCTGAATGCCCGTCAAAGTGCTGTGAAATGCATTTCCACAACTGCATGGAACCCTTGAGATCATGTTTGCATGGTCGTTGATTAATCAGATCATCCAACAAGTCAACAACAGTCTGACAGTCAGAAAAAAATTGTACATGATACCAACCATTAAGTGCAAGAAGAACGGCATTGAGTTCGCCTGTAAAGCTGTTCTGTTCCACACCGGGGACAATTTGGCAAGCATTACAAACTGGTGTGTAGGCATGTTGTAGCATTTCCACTGCCGCACTTGCTGCAATGGAAAGCTCCGGTACATCATTGAAAAAAGCTGTGCCATCCGTAAAGACATAGTGGTCGTTATGGTCATTGGTTGGCACTTTGAAAATCGGCAAGTGATTTGTAACTCCTCCAATGATTTCTGACACATCCGGAATAGGGGGTGCCAGGCCAAAATGCCATGATGTCTCTTTCCAGTTTCTCTGGATTCTTGTTATGGTTTCTTCCTTTGGTCTCAAGTCAGTGAGTTTGGGGCAATGGAATACCCTGTGTTGCCTGGAGTCCTCAGCACCACAAAGTACACACTTATTTTCGACCCCCGAAAGAAACTTGCAAAGGAAGTCATTGGTAATGTGCCTCCCTGTCTGATAAATGGCAACAAGTGATCTATGATAATAGGTGAGTTTATCAATGGCTTTTCGATTGCCCTTCCAATCAAAGGAGCTCATATCAAAGTACTTTCTTTGGATTCTGGTGGTCATGATGTGTGATATCCAGGCCATTTGCAAAAGGTTCTTGAGTGCCTTCGATGAGATGGACATCCAATGGCATCTGCGGTTAGCGACCTGAATGACCCCATCTGATTCTTCAAATCTGCATCCAATTTGCAGAGCAGAGGCAACCAATGCTGCAACTGGTCCTGGTCCCTTTAATTTCCTTTGATCTTCTTGCAGCTCCCTACATTTTTGGTGAAGGGTTTGAGCCTGCAAGGGAAAAAGACGGCTAAAACGTTTCCACAACTGAAAGCGCAAGAACAAAAGTTTGAACTCCGGATCAAAGGAAGGATCAATGGCATTACAAGCAAGATAGCTATTCGACCCTGACCCTCCACATTGAATTGCCGCAGCGGTAGTGGCACGCAAGGCATGGATATCCTGTGGCGCAATTTGTTGGAAGGGTCCTGCATATGCCACACATGCGTGGCCTGCCGAGGCTGCAATGGCTTTTTTCATACCTTTTGGAATCTTGGCTTGCTTTATTACCTGGAGTCTATTTTTGGCTTTACCAATTCTTGTTTTTATGGTCTTTTTGGATTGTCTTTTGGTGTAATTTTGTTGCATTCCGAGGTCATGTGCACTATGAACCAAAGGAATTTTGACATCGTTGACCTGTAGGCTAGCGCATTGGGCCCTTAAGGCAGCAGTTGTGGCCCATGACCAGCTTTTCTTAGGTGCAATCTTCATTTTAAGAGTTCTAGTGACATCCCGGAGTGCGTCCAAACTTCTTTGCAAGTCTTCGCAGTTTTGGGCACATACACTCCAATTGTCAGCGAAAAACGCACATTGTGCACAGGGCGCATTTTCGGAAATCATGGCATGTGCCAATATGCTAATCGCAAGCATAGAGGGTATGGCAAAACCACAACCTTCGATGATACCTGTTGTCGTACCCTGTGGGTCTGAGGTACTTTGCGCAATCTCAAAAATTCTCAACATTTGGCGCATCATTGCACGGAAAGCGTTGATGATGTTGTCTGGTACCCCAAGTCTAGAAAGTGTTTTCAACAGAGCGCCACGTGGAACAGTGTTATAACACTTCATTAGATCTATTACAATGCCCCCCAGCGGGATAGATTCTCTATGAGCATCTTCAATTTTGGAAGCAATCAAAAGTGCAATCATGTCTGACGACACTCGCTTGCAAACACCAGCAATCTCTGGAGGAATTGTGGAGCTGATATATTTGGTAACCTGCTTACCCCTTATGTGACCCCAGAGACGATATATCTTTGCCATGATGGTTACCGGCCTAATGTCAAATGGTGTTTTGGCATCAGTACATTTTGGCAAGCATATGGTTTTGGCAAGAATCCATTTCTGTGGCCACAGTCCTTGTTGTTCGATCAACCTCAAAATAATTGCCAACATCTCAAGAAGACACTCCGGTAATTTGCGCAAATCCAAAGTGCTGAACCCATCTGAGCCACGGCTGCTCGAAATTTTGGTACATCTTAAGGCTTGGCGGATATCTTGAGCATCAATTGGGGGCATACTTGCAACCTGGTGTTGCGGAATCCTCCCTACAAGTTGACACATTGCATCCGGCACACGGTCTAACTCATCCTCGGCATCTCTCTGAAAGAAACCGTTCCATGCTTGAAAAAGTTGACGGTGCATCTCATCTGGACTGGCATGTGTGAGTTCTTGCTCAACCACAAGTTGATTAGGCTCATAGTAAAGCAAATGGACTTCACGGTCTAGGAAGATTCCCTGTTGACCAATCTGGGTGATCCTTGCAATTTGGGTCTGAAAGGTGATAGGCAAATTAGGATCAAACTTTGACACATTGTCGCAAGCAAGATACTTTTTACCCTCTTTGGGCCAAGCAACTCTTGTGACTTTGGTCTGGAATTTGCTTTTTATGGAGGTAAGCGGTGACAAATCGCTGGTTTTCACTTTTCCAAAAGCAATTTTTCCACCATGTTTCCAATCTTCGCAAAGTTCAATTTTTTGGATGGCTTGTTTGGCTTGGAGCGCAACTTGTTCGTTGGCATGGTACCATTGCGTATAGGCATCCTTGATTAATATTGCAACTCCAAGGCAGGGAAGCCATTCACCTACCTGGAGATTCAACATTTGCGTGACCCAATGTGCAAAACCTTTTTTGAATCCCTTGGCAAACAGAATAGTCTGCCACAGGTGCTGGAGTTGCATATGGGCCTTGGAATGGTAATTTTTTTGGAGGGAAGTGGTCTGCCTTACCAAACTTTGAATTCGGTGCAATTGTTTGAGCTGTTGTCTGAGGCGTGTACTACATTGATCTAATGTACTTTGGAAATCACCATCTCGTGCCTTCTTGTTCAACGGAACAACCTGAGAATATTCCCTCAACGGGTTTTTCCTGGCTCTTCCAAAGTGAGCAGCAGAAATGGAGCATCTTTGCCCAGTGGCATCGACTGCAGAGTTCGCAAGAACCTGCTCTGCAGTGTTTGTCCATCTGCGTGAGAGTTCATTGACATTGTTTTCTGCCAAAGCTTGTTCCCATCCTCGACGAGATGCAAGAAGTTGTTTCTCGGCTGTTTGCTGCGCAATGACATTGTCTATCTGGAATGCATCAAAACTCCTTGGGAGTGTCCATCGCTGAATGGGCTTGGCAAGGCATTCTACATTAAATTCTGCTTTTAACACAGGATGGGCAGGGAACATGTACGGAAAACATGTTCTGCATGATTTCAATGCTCGTGCAAGCTCCATATTCACAAGAATGAAACTATGACGAACTGAATCGCAAGAGGTGTTCTCTAAAGGGTGTCCGTTCATTTGGGATGACAATGCGGCTGCGTCAATCCAACCCCTTTGCAGTAGGCTTTGCCAAGCATTGATCTTTTCCAGCGGGGCATTAAAGTCTCCCGCTATGGCAGCTGGGCCACGAAATGTAACTGCCCGCTCTGCAGCATAGCTTAGCAAGCGATTCATTAGGGTGGTGTGATCTGCAAATTTATATGCCACCGTTGGCCCGTACAGTGACGCCATGTACATGTAGCGATGGGGAATGATTTGGATATGGGCTTCACTGAACCTATTGGAGTGATAGACGTCTGGGGGGAGGTCACACAGAGCACTACGCATTGGATACGTAGACATGATTGCCGTGCCACCTGCCAATCCCCTGAAACCAGCGGTGGAGCCACCTTGTGTCCCAACTGGGGCAGACCACTCAACTCCCAACCTATGGTCCCGACACCATTTGGAAATTTGGGATTGGACCTGCTGTGTCGCTGCTGTCTCTGACAATCCAATTATTGCAGGACAGATTTTCATTACTAAGTCTTGTTTGTTCCACAGCGTGGTGGGATTACATGTGGCAATTGCAAGGTGGTCTGGTCCAGGGTTATCTGCTTCCCCTATTCGACAAGTCACCAGCCATATGCAGACGAATACAGCAAACACAGAGACAACGATGCCCCAAAACGAAAGGAAGAACCGATCGTTGTTGAAAAAACACCTGGGGCATCTCGTCCTTCTTGTTCTTCGGACAAACCGACGCCCTTTGATTTTTCTGGCGCAATAAATAATTCTGCGTTGAACCCTCCGATGAGTTTTGCTTGAAGAGACCAAGTGACCAAACAGGATACTACAGAGCACAAGGAAGCTGCATGCACAACAGGGGATTAAGACAGCGAACTTGGAAAAGGGCTCACACAGACCTGGTTGTGGCAGCTGCACATTTAACCATGTTTTTCCTTTGATTACATGTGTGATGACACGACCTGAGAGCTCAATCAAGGAACTCACGTTGCAATGCTCTACTTGGAGAGTGGTCTGTATCTCGTCGGAAGAGCTTGGGCATGTTCCTGCACTTCTATCCTTGTATCTCCAAATGGATTTTGGAAT